CACCTTGGGCCTGGAGAGGGGATGGCTGCTAGGAAGTGTACCTCCCTCTTGCCATCTCCTCCGTGGCCACCAAGGGACCTCCCAGATTCTCTTGCAGTGGAGGGTCTGCTCTGGGGTCTCCATCTCTTAGGGTTGGGCTGGAGCTGTTATATTCATTTCCCTCCTAGAATTTGCCACTATGGTGCCAGTTTTGATGCCAGCAAGACCATCTACCTTGATGCTACTCATGTCACATTCCTAGACCAGACCCCTCTCTCCCAAACTCCACACTGTGAGCCCAGTGAAGCATCTCCATGAGGATGGACAGCGAGGCACCCCACACTCCACATGTCTCCACTGATAGCTGCTCTGTGACCCCAAACCTTCAAGCTGTCCATGACTCTTTCCTCCCTCCCACATCCAATGTCTCATCTCTTGGTCCCACCTTCCCGGTATCTCCAGGATCCTCCATGTGTCTCCACACCACTCTATGTCCTTTAGCTTATCACAATGGTGGGCAGGCAATGGCCGGACAGGGACAGGCAGGACACACAGGGGCAGATGGATCAGACGCCCAGTGGCAAAGTACTGAGGAGCCGTGAAGGAGGCTTAGAGTGACTGGGGTAACCTCAACTGTGAGGCTGGGGACGGGGAGTCCATTCCTCTTGGGTCCCACCCCAGCCATTATGCAGCCACCATTGCTCTCCTGGTCACAGAGCCCACGAGCCTGTCCTCCATAAAGAAATGGGCTCATGCAATGGGTGCATTCACTGGGGATTTGCATAGGATCCTGTGAGCTGTTTCCCTGTGGCCCCTTCTGCTCTGGACTGCTCTGTTCTCTAGACCTTTGTCTGCTCCTGCTGCCTGAAGTTCCTCAATGCAGACATGACTCCTCACTTCCTCTGCTTCTTTGCTCAGAATAATCTGCTTTTCTGGTCCCTGTTTCATACCCGGAAGTCCCCTGACCCTGACTGGCAGCCCCGCCCCTTTCCTGGTTCACCCATCGTCACAGTTGGTGCCTCTGGACAGATTTACATATTCATCAGGCTTGTCCATTCTCATGTGCGCTTCATGGGGCAGGGAACTTTGTTTTTTTTTTTTAATTTTATTTTTATTATTTTATTTTAATTAGTTAATTAACTCCCCCCCCCACCCTCCGAGACAAGGTTTCTTCTCTGTGTTGCTTTTGGAGCCTGTCCTGGCTCTCACTCTTTAGACCAGGCTGGCCTCGAACTCACAGAGATCTGCCTGGCTCTGCCTCCCGAGTGCTGAGATTAAAGGCGTGCGCCACCACTGCCTGGCAGTTAATTAACTTTTGAGGCAGGGTTTTCCTCTGTAGTTAGACTGGTTCAAACTTGAGGCAATCCTTCCCTTTCAACTGACCTAAGCAGAGGAATTACAAATATTTTTCACCAATTTGGCCTCATCTGATTTTTTTTTTTTTAAGCTGATGAGTCCCTGGGGCCCAGAGCAGTGTATGGTGGTGGCAGACTTCTTGTTCTGTAGCTGTGGAGGCAGAACATTCATTTACCTGTCACTGTCTAGATGGGTGTTTGCTGTATGTATGTCTGTGCACTGTGTGTGTGCCAGATGCCTATAAAGGCCAGAAATGGGTATCAGATCCCCTGGGACTGGAGTTACAGATGGCTGTGAGCTGCTATGTGGGTTCTGGGAATCGAACCGGGTCTTCTGGAAAAGCAGCCCCTAAGTGTTCTTAACTGCTGAGTCATCTCTGCAGCCTCTACCATCAGTCTTTCATTCTCTGAGCTCTTGTCTCCCAAGGGGCTGTTGCTCTGGGCAGGACCCAGGCAGGACTGGGGAACGTGGGCCTTGCATGCGGACTTGCCGAATCAGTGGAGCCCTGAACCTACAGAAGTCACTCAGGGTAGTAAGTGGTGTGACTGAGGAAGAACAGGCTCAAGTCAGGCACCAGCCCATTCCCAGGGACCAGAAGAGGACACCCCAGGACAGAGAGGACCAAAGGAGTGAGATGCCCTTCTGGGTATGTGCTGGCCAGGAGGGAGGCAGGAAGACTGGGGTCTACAGTGGCATGGGCCAGGCCTGCCTCCGGGAGTGGACCTAGAGCCACCCTGATAGGAGTTGAAGAAGAAGAAGGAGAAGGAGAAGGAGAAGGAGAAGGAGAAGGAGAAGGAGAAGGAGAAGGAGAAGGAGAAGAAGAAGAAGAAGAAGAAGAAGAAGAAGAAGAAGAAGAAGAAGAAGAAGAAGAAGAAGTGTGTGTGTGTGTGTGTGTGTGTGTGTGTGTGTGTGTGTACACAAGCCCTCGAATCAAATACATGTGCCCACAAGGAAATTGCCTGCCTATAAATGAGGCTACTACGGCCATTGTGGCTCCAGCTGGGACTAGAACCTCTGTGTCTGGTCTATGCTGGGTGCCACCCGGGATGGGTCTAATCAGATATCCTGTGTCCTCTGTCTCTTATTGCCTGTGGAACAGGTCCTTAGCTATACTCTTGGGGCCACCGACAGCCTGTCTCTAACAAGGGCCGCCTGGCTCCTGACCCAGGCTGATGGCGCCCTAAGTAAGTAAGCCCAGCCTAAGAGAGGGAGAATGTGATGGGGGCAGCAGTGCTAGAGGAGGGGCACTTTAGATCAGGCATGGTGAGAACCCAGGAAGGCTGCTTGGAGGAGGAGAAAGCCTGCAGAGAGAGAAGTCTGAAGATGGCTCTTTCTCCCATGTATCTACCCTTCCCTCTGTCCCCCTCTCCCAAGTCTTCTTACCCATGCCCCCTTCTCTGTCTCCATTTCTTTCTATTACTCTGTCTATGCCTCTGGTTTTTTTTTTTTAACCTTTTCCCACCTCTTTCTTTCTCATGTACCTGGCACCAGGGCACTGGAGGAAGATCACCAGTGTCCTGTCGGTCCTGGCTACTCACTATACCAAGTATGTAAAAGAAGGCTTAGCCAGGCTCCTCAGAGCCTCTCCTGACTCCGAATCTTGTGATCCCATTTCCCTGGGCAGCCATGGATGAATTCAATTTGTGCTAAATTCCTAATTACCTAATTACACCTTGCCTCTGTGGCCCCGGGACTCCCCAGGCCCTAGGGAACCCTGCGAGAGGATCTGGGTCCCTGGGCAGAGAGAAAGGGCTGCTGTTCAGGGAAAGGAACTGGCAGCTCAGAATTTCAATATCCTGGAGAACAAGGGAGATGTAATTAATTGAGCAACGAAGGCCACCCTTGGGAGCAGCCAGGAGTAGTCAGGCTGGCGTTGTGCTAGTTAGAGAGTCTTGGGCGTGTGGAGTGAGAGGAGCCTGCAGCCTCCCCAGGGTAGTTCTGGTCCAGTCTCTCCATCCACTCACTGCCTCTGTGTGGTCTCTAGGACTGCACTTCCCAGAGTCAGAGCCATTCAAGGGCTGTGCCTGCTCAGGGATCTGCTGGTGACGGTGGCACAGGCCTTTGACTAGTCATCTACACAGCTCCCCCTGCAACTCCTTCGACCCCTCTCCAGTAACCCCAGGCCTGTCTCCAGGCAGCTATGTGTGCTCACAGGCTAGACTTCCCTCAGCCCCTCTGGGGGCTTCTTCACATCCTGTAGGGCCCAGCTCCACCTCAGCCTCCCTACAAATGTGTCCTTGGCAATAATCCTTTTGCTCAACACTGCTGTCCCTGGCCCCTGCTGCTCGGCTGTGAGCTCTGAGGGGAATTCTCAGCATAGTGCTGGCAATCTACTGCCTGAGGAATGCATGCGTGCATACATGAATAAATGCACGCATGCATACATGAATGAATGATTGCAGTCCCAGAAAGGCCTGCAGTTGGCTGACTTGAGTTTTTGGTCCATTTTGGGGATCATGTGGGGATCTGTTTGTTTTCCGGTCTCCCCCAGTGAACACCCCTTGTTCCCATGTTGGGGGGTGGATGTAAAGCAATGGGGGACTGAGCCTTGGCCCCGGCTGTTCTCAGTTGGATGACGCAGCCTGTCAGGGAGCCCCATTGCTTTTCCTGAGTGGACGCTGACCTAGTTTTGTGGGGAGGGAAGATGGGGGTGGACATTAATTATTGATTGGAAATCACTCCACGCTGAGTTCGTGATGCAAATCCATGATAATTATCCTCATTAATAGCCACCTCAGCATCACACTGGGGTAAATCAAAATCCAACAGGAACAACTCTCCTACTTGTCATCGTTCTTCACTCCTCCCCTCTCCGGCCTTCCACTCTTTTCCAGTCTTGTTCATGAGCAGTCATCCAGCAAACATTGATGAAGCTTATCTTCTGGGTTATTGAGAATATTCTGGGAATATTGAGGTGACTCAGACACAGACCCCGTCCCCAGGAACTTACATCCCAGTAGACAGGACAGGAAGGTGAACAGATAAATATTCATTAGGGTTAGCTGTTGATGCAGATAAGACCTATTAGGGTTGTGTAACATGCAAGCTATAACCGTACAAGGCAGCCTAGGCTAGGAGCTGTTGAGATTGCCTGGAGCAGGGGAGTGATGGCTTGGGCGAGAAAAGGTCTGGACAGCTCCGTAGAATGAGATGTCATGGGCTGGCTGTGGCGGATGGATAGGTGTTGGATAGGGTGTTTCAAGAAGAGCGAGCAGCAGAGGTAAAAGGATTGGTCATATGAAGAGGGTTAGATTCAGAATCAGGCAACAGTTTAAATGAGCATCCTTCTGCTTCTTAGCTGTGGGGCTCCAGTCGGTTCCTTGAATCTCCTGCATAAAACAGAGATCATATTAATATTGCCAGCCTCGTGGTTACTATGAAGGCTGAAGGAGAGCCTGTTTGTGTACATCCCCAGGAGAGCACTCATCACCGAATAAAGAGCTCCGTACGTGTCTGCTCCTTCACCCATGATCTTATGGAAGTGCATCAGGGCCCAGAGCCATTTTCCTGGCTTTGTGGGTATAGGGGCAGACATGGAGGAGAGAGGTCCTCTGGCAATCCCCAGCAGGGGCAGGAGGCTCCATCTCTCCTCCAGCCGCCCCTCAGCTTTTTGACCTGTTCTTTTTGCTTCTCGGATGCTACCCTCTCTGCCATTCTTCTGCCAGGCATGCGGATCCTGGTGAACCTACTGCTCGACACACTGCCCATGCTGGGAAATGTGCTCCTGCTCTGTTTCTTCGTCTTCTTCATCTTTGGCATCATTGGCGTGCAGCTCTGGGCAGGCTTGCTGAGGAACCGCTGTTTCCTGGAGGAGAACTTCACCATGTAAGTCCCCTGCCCCATATTTACTAGGTTTTCTATTGCTTTGATGAAACATTGGCACCAGAGGCATCTTGGGGAGGGAAGGGTTTATTTCATCTTATAGCTTGTAGTTCATCATCCAGAGAAGTCAGGACAGAAACTCAAGTAGAGCAGGAACGTCAGGCAGGAGCTGATGCAGAGGCCATGGAGGGGTGCTTCTTATTGGCTTGCTCCTCATGGCTTGCTCAGCCTGCTTTCTTATAGCACCCAGGACCTCTAGCCTAGGGGTGATAACATCCACAGGGAGCTGAGTCCCCCCACATCAATCATCAATAGAAAATGCGCTACAGATTTGCTGACAGGCCAATCCAATGGAAGCATTTGCTCACGAAGATTCCCTTTTCTCAGAAGACCCTAGCTTGTGTCACGTGATATAAAAAACTAGCTGGCACACCCTACTCCTACCCCCATGCCCAACCTGCTCTGTTCCTGCTCACTCTGACCTGCCTCTTGCTAATTCATTTGCTAACTGAGAATCAGGCCAGCAAAGTAAGAGTGGCCAATTTGGGAAGGCTGGCTAGGGCAAGAGAGGGAGGTCTGGACATTGGAAGGAAGGAAAGTTCCAGGACCCAGGGAGGTGTGTGTGTGTGTGTGTGTGTGTGTGTGTGTGTGTGTGTGTGTGTGTGTGTACGTGCGTGCGCGCGCGCGCGCACCATCACAGGATCAGCTCACATCTTGCTGCTGGGTCTAAAGTGGGAGCCAGGTGCCCCTCAAGGTAGAATGTCATGATCTGCTTAAAAGTTGGGTCTAATTTCTGAAAATGATGTCTTCAGAATCCCTTCTTCCTAAGTAGCATGTGCACACACTATGTGACTGGGAGAAAGGGTGCTTCGGCTTCCAGTTTCCACAAGCTATTGGGCTGCTGATGTGTGCCAGGGAGCCTGAAATGAAATAGTGATCATGTCTGTTTTAACCTGGCAGATGTACCCAGGGTCTGCCTTTTGTTGAGCTAGGGCACCCATGGGGGAGCACCAGGCTCTTCTGGATGCGGTGGTGTAGGGACACTGCCTGAGTTGGGATCAGTCTCCCTTTTCAGGCTTTAGAATGTAGGTACAATGTGATGTAACAGGAGGTGAAAGTTAGGGAGGGTCTGGCCTACCTCTCCGTTGCTGTGTTGTGGGGTACCTTGGTAGGTCAGAGAATGGGCACCTTGTTGGGTGAGGGACTCATGGATAGTGAAAGAGGGGCTTTTACACTTATGTGAGTGCTCAACAGAGGCCAGTAGTCAGGGGCAGGAAGAGGGGAAGGCCTTCAGAGAGCAGCATGTGTGTGAGCTCTTGGCGTTGGGTGTTCCCCGCACATCCACACCCTCTCTGTCCCATGTGGATCTTTCTTATAGTGTTCTGTGACTGGTCCTGTCTCACTACCTGGGCTCAGCCTTCACGTCACCTTCTGCTGGACGATTGCTATCTCTTCCCCAAGCAGTGGACGCACTGTCTGCTAGACTTCCTTGTTGGCTGATCTTCTCCTGCAGTGATCCCATTTGTCAGCTTGAGTATTTGGGGGTTTCTGGAGCAGTTGCATACTTGGTCTTGGGGGGACCCTAGGATGTGAGTTCTCCCTTAGGCCAGGAATATTTGGTTCTCACTGTTTTCTCAGGACCTGGAATAGGGCCCTAATTTGTTCACTATGAATGAATGAGATCATGAATGAATGAATGAATGAATGAATGAGAGAGTGAATGAGTGAATGCCGATACTGCATAGAGGCAGGCTGGGAAGAAGACTGGTTCTCCTTGGCTTTGCAGCAGGAGAGTCTATGTGCTGGTTGGAGGCTGGCTGTTCCCTTGTCCTGTCCAGACCCTGAGAGGTGGCTCCAGCCCTGACTTGGCTATGATGAGGGGAGATGGGGGCACAGTGCTGTGGATGTGCCTGGGCCTCAGCATTAAAGAGGGCCAGTGTGTGGCTGGCCCCCTTGGAAGAGGATTTCCAAATATGAGAGGAACAAGAGAACCTCAGGGACAAGACCTAGCTAGCAAGACTGGGTGACTCCTGAGTTCCGAGTCTCATGCTCTCAGGGAAGGTGGCCTTGACTTACAGGCCTCACTGGAGAGAGGATGACCATACTTCAGGCTGGTAAATTCCAGGCTTGGGAAGAGAGCCCAGCCAAGGTTATCCCAGGTCTGCAGACCCCATAGAGGGAGTCAGGGTCAGACTTCAACTCAAAAGACCTGGCTCAGAGCAGGCTGCAGAGTAGCGGGTAAGGAAGCCTTGCAAAGAAGTAGGTCTTTCCTGGGCCTCAGACAGATGGGCTCCGACCAGACCCCAGTTCAGGATCTGGTGAGCCAGGCCTGGCCGTAGACAAGAGCAACAGGCACCCAATGGGGAATTCTCCATGTCCTCTTGGCTTGTTTTCCCACCAACTTGTTGTCTGGAGGCTTCACATCACACCTCCAGTCCTTGGCCAGACACTCTGAACAAGCTCATGAGTCATACAGGCTGGGCAGAGCAGGACACTTCCTAGATGGAACACACAAGTGGGTGTTGAGCCCTCTGGGGACCTCAGTCCAAGCCGTTACTATGCAGACAGGGCCTGAAGTCTAGAGAGGGAAAAGACAGAGTCACCCAGCCAGGTTCCTTCCTGGTTGTAGGGGTCTCAGAGCATGGGCATTATCACAAACATTTGTCTGTCACTTCTAGGGTCAGGCCCTTCTCTTTTCCTTGGTCTTGACTCTAGGAGGATCAGGGAGTTAAATGTGTACTGGGACTTAGGATGTTGGGCTGAGAAGAGAGGATTTGTGGGATGTCTAAGGATGCAACTTTGTTCTGGACCTGAAATGTCAAGACTGCTGGATGCCTCCTGGATCACGGGCTGAGGCAGGAGTTAATTTGTGACAGAACCTCCCTCCCTCCACTGCCATGCAGGTGGGGGCCGCGGCAATGGAGTCTGGACTTCAGGGTCAAACTCTGCTTCTGCCACCTGCTAGTCACGTGGCTTCAGCAACTTCATACCTCAGTTTCCCTACTGCAGAGTTGTTTTGGGAATGACCCAAATTAGAACATGTGGATGTTAGGACAGTGTCTGACCCCACAAAGGAGTGAACCATTGTGTGACACCATGTAATGTTCCACCAGCCTGGGAAGTTCCTGGTGTATGTGTGTGTGTGTGTGTGTGTGTGTGTGTGTGTGTGTGTGTGTGTATATATGTGTGTCGTTGTTCATTTATTGGGAAGGCACTGGAATGGCACCTGGAATCATGGGTATGAGTGAGCTCACCCCAGTCTGGTGCCACAGATGATGGATGGCAGCCCTTAATAAATGAGCCCTGAGGGAAAAGGTCAGGTCCTAGAGAAAGATAGCTGATATTCGTAGGGTGCTTAGTACACCCTGGACACTGTGCTCAGCAGGGCCAATTCAGTTACCTTCCAACATCCTGTGGGGGAAGCATATTATCCTTATTTGTTGGTTTGTCTGAATGTGTACATGTGCCAGTGATTCGTGTGTTCATGTGTGTAGAGTCCAGAGGCCAATGTTTGGGGGTGTCTTCCTTGATTGCACTCCACTTTATTTTTTGAGACAGGGTTTCTCACTGAAACTAGAACTGACCGGTATGGTCAGACAGGCTGACCAGCAGGCTCCAGGAGCCCCTCATGTCTTTGCCTCCCTAGCGCTGGGGTATAGGCACATATCACCATGACCAATTTTTACGTGGGTGCTGGGGATCTGAACTCAGGTCCTTATGTAAGGCATGCACTTGATCAACTAAGGCTGGCAGTAGCAGAGTCCTGAGAACCGCAGGAGAGAGGCTCGGCCACACTGCGGTGGAGGGAGGGTTGGGAGTGGGCAAGGGTGGGAACAGGGCTGGGCTGTCGACATGTGATTGGCTGGTCATCTGAACCAGTGTTTGGGTGCAGGCTGGCCGCTAGTACAGCTGCCCTGGGGTTTCTGAGTTCATGGAGTAGGGCTGGCAGGAGGGTCTTCAGTAATGACAAGCGGTCATCAGCTACCAGACAGGGGTGAGCTGATCATCCGTCAATGCTAGCTGCACCGACCCCAGAGTCCCAGATCTCCCAAGTCTCTCCATCCATCACTTGTGGACCCAGGGACACCACCTCCCATCTGGGCTGATGTCCACAGTGAACTGGAAACCTCTAAGAATTGTGACTTTAAGATGTCTGTAGGTTTGCAGCAGTAATTAAATCCAAAAAAAAGAACAGATTGAAACAGAAACTGCAATACACTCATCCACCAGAGAACTCAAATCCAGAGCATGTAAAGAATGACTATACACCAATAAGAACGCCAAAGAGGATCTAATTAAAAATGGTCCAAAAGACCTTACCAGAGACCTCTCAAGGGGCTGCAGGAGTGGCGGGCGAGTATTTGAAGAGGTCCTTCTCCTTCAAGGTCTTAAGAGAGCTGTAATTGAAATGGCAGTGAGGTACCATGGCACCCCACCAGGACGGTTTAAATGAGGACCATTATTGCCACAGACACAGGGCAAGCGATGGATGTTCAGTCGTGTTCAGGGAGGTCTCAGGGGACCTTCAGGGTGGTTTCAGGATCCATTGTGGAAGGCTGGACAGACCCAACGCTAAACACACCCTCGGCTTGCCAGGCGGTACCCTGGGGCTTCGCTCAGAAGAAAGGTTTGGTGGGTAGGGCCAATGGTGTAGCTCCCTTGGCGGAGCGTTCTCTTAGCGTGCTTGGGGCTCCCGAGTTCAGCCTTCAACACTGTAAAGTTGGAAAAGACAATTACAGCCGATGAGCTTCAGCGGGCAGTGGTGGCTCACCCATGCAATTCCCGTGGTCAGGATGCTTTTGTCAGGAAGACCTTAGGAAGTCAGCTGTGGTTAAAAAAACAAATACCATCCCCCCAACACCCCCTCAGATGCACACACACACACACACACACACACACACACACACACACACACACACACACACATACACACATGCCCACTGAAGCATGTGTACAAGAGTAGTTCTGAGTCATAAGGGCCCCATACCCAGAAATGACCTAAATTGACGGTTGGATAAGTAATAGCAGTGTGCTCGCTCACGCAGTGAACTCACTCATAGGTACGAGTCCCAAGGAGTGGCTGTTTAACTCTGCTAATGATGTTTTTGAGCAGCAGAAACTTGGCCTCCAATCCTGTTCAGCTTTATAACATATTGAACTAATCTCAGAGCCTGAGGTCAGAAAAACATTCTCAAAAGATTTCTGGCTTCATCTTTCAGTCTGGCCTATTCGATCACAAAGAATTTTGCGTGCAGTATGCGATGGGCGTGGGGATGTCAAGGTTGATTTATTGTTTAACGTGTATTCAGTCTTCCCAGAATCATGTGTGGTATGGTCCGGCCTTTCTGCAGGGGACCAAGTGATCTCTTTATTGGAAGCAGGTGGTCGTGAGCCTTTGCAGGGTTGGTTGTGATGTTTTGGTTGTTAAAGAATGCTGATGAATTGTCTTCCACAGGGGTGGTGCAGTTGACACTCTCACCAACAGTGCGGGTGCCTGTTTACACTCACGCTTCCCACACTTGGTTACAAAACCTTGAGGTGGCCATTCATATGAGAGGAGGCAATTTCTGTGTGATTTCTGTTTGCTGTTTTTTTTTTTTTGTTGTTGTTGTTTTTTGCTTTTTGTTTTATGAGACATGGTCTCTCTGTGTATCCTTGGTTGTCCTGGGACTTGCTATGTGGACCGACCATCCTGGCCTTAAACTTACATAGATCCTCCTGCCTGTACCTCCTGAGCACCAAGATCAAAGACATGCACCACCACCACCCTAAACTTGCTTGCTTTTTTCTTTCTTTCTTTTTTTGGGTATTTAATTAAATTAAATTAATATTTTTTTGACGTAGCATTTCCAGACAGGTGTACTGGTGTGCACCTAGGCTCCCAGCGCTCAGGAGGTAGAAGTCATAGGACCTAGAGTGTAAGGTCATTGCTAGCTGTGTAGAAAGTTCAAGGACAGCCTGGGCTACATGAGACCTGTCTTGAGCAACCAGCCAACCAAGCAAACAAATAAAAGAAGGGAAAGCATATTGTTATTCAGTTCAGGCTGACCATGAACTCAACACAATCCTCCTGCCTCAGTCTCCTGAGTGCTGGCTTCTGTTTGCCTTGAGACATGGGTCTGTCTCTCTGTGTTGTGGTCTCCATTAAGACCCCCATTCTGTAAAGTACCACACTGGCTCATCACTGGTCTCAGGGTCCTCTCTTGTAAGGCTAGTTTCCACTTATATTTTCCCTTTTAAACCCTGCCTGGATGATTTCTCTTTGAACCGTCTATCTGGGTGCCATAGACAGAATCACAATGGGATTTCGTTTGTGGTTGTGTGGTGGGCAGAGCTTATGATCAAGTGTCACCGATGAGGTAATCCATGTCCAGGGAGAGAAGAGACTGGTCCAGGGCTGCACACCCCCTCACCCGCTGGCCAGCAGAATCCAGTGACTGCTGACTATTTGCTTTGATCTGTCCAAACAGTGTGGCCTGGGTCAGCCAGGGAGCTGGGTGGAGTCTGTCCCAGGTCATGGTGTACCTCAGGGAACCCTGGCTTAGCTCTGTGGAGGGGAGACTCCTCCAGGAAAGGTTCCTCAGAGGTGAGAACCACGAAAAGGGATGGCAATAGACCTGCAGAGACTTTTGCGGCCTTTCTTTGCCTGGTACACCTGGCGGTGACCCTCCCCTGCCCTTCTTTGACTGCTCTTTTCTACCGTAGACAAGGGGATGTGGCCCTGCCGCCTTATTACCAGCCGGAGGAGGACGACGAGATGCCCTTTATCTGCTCCCTGTCGGGCGACAATGGCATCATGGGCTGCCACGAGATCCCCCCGCTGAAGGAGCAGGGCCGAGAATGCTGCCTGTCCAAAGATGATGTGTACGACTTTGGGACGGGGCGCCAAGACCTCAACGCCAGTGGCCTCTGCGTCAACTGGAACCGCTACTACAACGTCTGCCGCACGGGCAACGCCAACCCTCACAAGGGCGCCATCAACTTCGACAACATCGGCTATGCCTGGATTGTGATCTTCCAGGTGAGAGCATGCAGACCCAGGACTGGCCGGCCAGCAACGGGTGGCGTGGCTGGCAACTTCACTCAGCAGGTAAAGTCTTGAGCTGGACTTGGTCACCCACTCCTTGAGATCTGTCCCACACGCTGGCTGGTAGAGGCTCCATCCTGCTCACTTTGCAGGCAGAAAACCCAAGGTTCGAAGGAAGAAAAAACACGCCTGCTGGGCAAGGAGTCTGTGGGGGCTAAATAGCACATCGAGATTTCAATCCACGTGGGCTCCCCTCAAAGCCTTTGCTCCTTACAGATGCCCAGGTGGGCTGAGTCACAGAGGGCAGGGCCAGGGCATGGCTCTATTGGAAGCCAGGCCCCACTGTGGTAAGGAAGGTGAGTGACAGCTGGGGTCAGGCCTGAGTGGAGCCTGACTGACTGGCTTGTGTAGAAAATGCTTTCATCCTGTGACCATTGCGCCCATGATGCCACCTTGTGCAGACCATTGTGGCTCCTGTACCAACTCCATCTCTACACTCTTGAGGAGACCAGGCAGGATTCTGGTAATTGGGGCTGTGGGACACTGGGGGTCTTGCTTGGCCTCTCTGTGCCTCAGTTTTCTCCTCTTCATACTTACTGAGTGTGCTCTTCACATTGGGGTACTGTACTAGCAGACTCCTTGGTTGCCCGGCAATAAGCCAGGGCTGTGAACGGGGAAGTCACCCCTGTGCAGTGAGGCTCTGCTGTCCTCAAAAGGAAGAAGGGAAGGAGGGGCAGAGGAGGCCAGGGGGCCCCCACTCTACTCTGGGAAGGGCCGTATCAGAGATCCAGAGCTGGGAGGCAGCTGAACTCGGGCTCAACCACTGTGTTTTGGGTCTCTCGCTTGGTCAGCCCAGAGGGTGGAGGCTGCTCAGGAAAGGTGAGGCGGAGCTAGGGAGGCCCCAGTGCTCAGCCTGTCTTTCCCCAGGTGGCTCTGAGGAGGCTCTAGATGGCATTGTGGGGAACAAGGAAGGGAATGGTCAGCTGACCCACACCTCCGCTCTGCTGGGGGCCTTGTCATCCGTGTACTGAAGGACTTAGCGCAAGTCCAAGGCTTTCTGCTTCCCCAGCTTGGGTGCCCACCCCCCAGTGGTGGGCCTTTGAGCAAGAGAGGACAGGAGTCCCTTCTCCCCTCCTGCCTGGCTGCGTGATGTTGTGACATCAGCACCTCTTTGAACCTTGGTTTCCTTACCCATGCTGCCCCCTACCCCAGCCTCTGTTGGGGTGTGTCTTGAGTCCTGGTGCACAGGAGGGCCCAGTGTCTTAGACTCGGCCCTGTCCTCATGCCTGCTGCAGGTGATCACTCTGGAAGGCTGGGTGGAGATCATGTACTATGTGATGGATGCACATTCTTTCTACAACTTCATCTACTTCATCCTGCTCATCATAGTAAGTATCAGGGCAAGTTTGGGACCATGGACCATGGCACTCAGTCCGGATGGGGAGGGAGGGGAAGGATGGGCAGTCCCTAGGGGAGCCTGGCAAGATAGGAGACAGCCAGAGGAGTGGGTAATCCATCTCCAAGGAGGGGATATTTTAAATGCAGTCAACCAGCCAGTGATTGAAGGGGCTCATCAGGGCTGTGGCTGGGAGCATCCATCACAGCCCCTTGCCTCACTTCTCATCTCCGCCCGAATCTCCAGGGATCCATTCTTTCATGGCCTTAGCTGGGGGTATAGTTCCAGAATGGAGCTTCCTAGGGGTTCCATCTGGTCCCCATTTTTCCTGGGGCAGACAAGATGCTCTGACTGGCTGCATGGGGCTTGTTCTTGGGCAGGACATAGGGTAGGAGATTGGCCTTGGTGGTGGCCTGGTGGAGCTCTGGGAAAGTCTTTGAACTCTGGATTCTCTGCAGCTCTGTCTGTGGTCAGGTGATGGAGACAGGGGTCTATCCACCCTTACAGGCCAGCATTTCCTGTCCCCACTTTCCAGTGTCCACTTTGTCCTGGCTGCCTGTGGCTTCTGCCTCAGCACAATCCACGGAGGTCAGGCCTCTGGGAGAGCTGTGTTCACTCCCCAGCATGAAGGCTGGGTTCTCTAGCTTCCTGGTGGTGAGTGAAGGCAAGCTTGACTCCTGTGAGTAACGCCCTGACCGAGGAGTCAGGACAGGCTGGCTGCTGGCCTGAGACACACCTGCTGTGATGTAGCTTCAGCGATTTCCTGGGGAGCCTGGGGCCTTGGATTCAGGAGAAACTCTGGGGAAAAAAAGAAGGGCCCAGATTTCATTCTGCATCACTGGCCATTCATCAACTTACTTTCAACAGAACATCCAGGAAGATGAGCTGAGTTCTGGGGACAGAGCAGGGATCCAGGCCCTGCCCTGTTCCAAAGAGCTCACAGTCTGGGAAAGAAGGGCTGGCAGGTGACAATGACATCCAGATCATTAAGTATCATGATAGAAAGAAGCCCATAGAGGCTGGAGAAGTCACTTGGAGGAGGACAGGGATGTGGGTGACTTCCTGGAGGAAGACAGGAGGCTCTGTCCTCTCCCACAGGAATCCATTTATTCAGTGTGACTTGAGGCAGGCTCTTCATGGGTTCCATGAAGTGGGACAGTGACAACACTGAGTTCCCAGGTGATGGGGAGGATTAGCAGGGATGCAACCTGGAGCCTGTATACCCTTGGTATCCAGTAAGTGGTCAGTAAATGTGCCCTGATGTTATTGGGGTCACTTGAGTCCCAAGTATCCCTGTCTCAGGACAGAGGATGACATCAGTAGGCTGGTGGGGGTCTTCAGTCTTCACATATAGCCCCCAGCACCCCTCTGGTTAGGAAAGTCCTGTACCCACTTTGCTCTAGTCCCCCAACTTTACATATGGGGAACAGAGAGGATGAGGGTTGCCTGGGTCATCCAGGGCAACCACTGCTCAGCAAAGACTAGGTAGGAGTCTGCCAGAGGTGACCGTACAGAGGGCAGAGTGTAATCTCTCTGGTTCCTGTGTCCCTAACCAAGCCGGGGCAGGGTAGATCTTTGGGAAATGTTATAGATAAGATAATGGAGGCAGAGGACTGCAGGCCATCTTTTTTGTCTAAGAGGCAGTCTGTTTCCCAGGGTCCTCTGGGCCAGGAAACCCTGTACGCCTTTAGCTCTTCAGTTGTATGTAATGGGGAGAGGAAAGCGGGATGAAGTAGTGACTGGGGCAGCCATCTGCATGTTCCTGTTGGTGATGTCCCAGAAGGATGGAGGCCACCTCTCTCCTGCCAGGCCAGAGGAGTTCATTTGGGGTTAGTGAGTACCAGAGGAGACGGCTGGTATTGGAATAGTTCGATGGGCTATAGCGAGGCTACCCAGCTCCATCTCCCCCTCCAAGCACACAGCCGAAGTCCAGGCCAGTGAGTAGGACTCAGGACCCTTTGACTTGAAGGAGTGTGGCTTTCCTCTTGGCTTCAGCATCTCTGTCCTACGTGGATGGGTCGTGAGGCCAGGCCTTGGTCCTGATGGGGCCTGGGCTTGGATGCAGTCCTAGCCTGACCTGGGAAGTCACCTAGGCGGTGCCTTCCCCTGCAAGGACTCAGTGATCTTTTCCTGTCCCATCTGTGTCTGTGTTTCTGTCTCCCTGGGCCCCTCCACCTTCCCTGAACCTCTGTCTGTCTATTTCCACCCCAACTCTGCGTTTCCCATGTGTCCCTGCTCTCTCCATCTCTTCCTCCTTCTCTCTGTCTTCCCTCCCTCTCCTCCCGTCTCCTCTTCTTTCTCTTCTCTCTTCCCCCCTCCCATTCTCCTTCCTTCCCCCCTTTCTGTCTTTGACTCTCTGTCCCCTGGCTGTCCCTGTCTTGCTGTCTGTCTGCTCTGACTTCTGTCCTCTCTTCCGTGTCTCTGGCCTGCCCCCTCCCCTCTTCCCCATTTCTCTGGCCTTCCTCTCTGTCTGCTGCTCTTGATAACTCTTTCTCCATCTCTCTGTCCCCTTTTCCTGGGCCCTCCTGCTGGCTCTACCTCTCTCTCTCTACTTCCCTGGCCCCGCTGTCCCCTCCGTCCCTGTTCCTGTCCTTTCCTCCTGTTGGTCACAGGTGGGCTCCTTCTTCATGATCAACCTGTGCCTCGTTGTCATAGCGACCCAGTTCTCGGAGACCAAGCAGCGGGAGCATCGGCTGATGCTGGAGCAGCGCCAGCGCTACCTGTCCTCCAGCACGGTGGCCAGTTACGCCGAGCCTGGCGACTGCTATGAGGAGATCTTCCAATATGTCTGTCACATCCTTCGCAAGGCCAAGCGCCGTGCCTTGGGCCTCTACCAGGCCCTGCAGAACCGGCGCCAGGCCACGGGCCCGGGGACACCGGCCCCTGCTAAGCCTGGGCCTCACGCCAAGGAGCCCAGCCACTGCAGTAAGTGGCCTTGCCCCTGAAGCTTACGTGGCATTATCTGGGGTCTCAGAATGGCAATATTGCAAGTGGGTCATGCCTGCTGGAACAAGAGGTGTCGGTATCAGATGTGGGATCCCAGGGATTCATTCCAGGCTCTGGTGTTTCCCTTATGGCTTATCCAGGACTCATCTGCTCAGCTCACTCCTTGCCTTAGTTCCTGTCCAGCCTGTGTGGGTTAGCCCTCTCCCTGGAGAAATCCTTCCAAGTTCTGTAGGCAAACACGGGTACCACTCCCTTGAACCTACACGTGAAAGTCAAGCGCACAGTGAATCATTCACAGCCTTGCAAGTCTAGACTCCCTCCCTGTAGCCTCCCACACCATCTCCCACCGTGGCCCCCGTGGCTGTTCCCTGCTCACCAGCACACCCGAGTAAGGACATCAGGCCCCTGGCACATGGGCGGTGCATGTCATTGTATATTGGGATGGACCCTCATCCCCATACTGCACTCCTGCCTCGTGCTTGAGTGGCACTAGACTGTTTGTGTAAGTTTGGTGTTTAGCTTAGAAAGGATACTCTCTGGATATGTAGTGCAGTTGTGAATGTGCTTGCTGAGCAGGTGTGAAAACTCTAGGTTCAAGCCCCACGCGGCATGGTGGTAATCCTGGTGCTCTGGACATAGAACAGGAGGATCAGAAGTTCGAGGGCATCCTTAGCTTAGTGAGTTAAGTAAGTTTATAGTGAGTTCAAGATCAAGTTGGGCTACAGGAGACCCTGCTGCAAGGAGAGATAGGGGAGAGAGAGAGAGAGAGAGAGAGAGAGAGAGAGAGAGAGTCTGTTTCTTTTAAGAAGGGGACAGACTAAAAATAGTGTCTCCAGTTTTCAGAAGGGAAAACCAAGGCCCAAGAAGATGATGGAGTCACTTAAGTGGCCTGGTATGTCAATGAAAGGTTCAGTCAGATGGAGTGTCAGAGGTTCTGGGCAACTGGGTTGCCGAGTGTGTCTCTAACTGCAAATGCACCCAACCCTAAGTGGAGGCTGCCCAGGCTACCAGGGGACTCCAGGTTTGATCTACTCTCCCCCAGTTGGTGCTGAGAAGTTGATGGGCCCTGGGACTGTTCCTTGGAGCAGTTGTGGAGCATGGCGTGTCCTGTTCCCCTTATGAACTTGAACACCACGGGGCGACCCATCTCTTCTCCAGAGCAGGGCTCAAAGGGATCTGCTAGTTTGTGCCTGTGGGTGACAATTACTGCCTGAGGCTCTGCCTGGTGAACTCCATGTTCCCAGCTCTCTTACCCTGCCAGTTAAAGACTGGCAGAGACCAGACAGTTGCCCACTGTCCTAAGACACTAGCCATCTAGATGTGGTGCCAGGTGGCCTGTGGGCTGGCCTAACAAGTGGAGAGGAGAGCTGGGGTCTGGGCAAGGCTAGCTCTCCCCTTTCTAGGGGTGTGAGTATAAGGGGGCTTCTTGTATGAGGGTGTTCCCATCACCCTCACCCTGGAACTCTGTGGAGGGAAGTTCTACACATTTTAGTCCCCCTCACTCCTCAGGCTTCCATACCTTCTCCTTTCCCTGTGTCTGGTGGTGATGTGGATGGGAAGAACTTTGGTACTCTGAGGCTGGAGTAGGATGGCTCAGGCATCTGGTTGCTTTGTAGTATTTGGAGGCTGGTGTGGAGAAGTCCAGGAATTCCTGCTTTTCTTCAAACCCTTTAGAGCTTAAAAAAAAATCTTATTCAAGCAAAATGTGTTTATGTTACTATAATATAGGAAAGCATAAAGAAGAAACCAGCCTTTAATCCCAGTACTTGGGAGGCAGAGGCAGGTGGATCTCTGAGTTCGAGGCCAGTCTGGTCCATGTAGTGAGTTCCAGGACAGTCAGGACTACACGGAAAAAACAAACAAACAAACAAACAAACAAACAAACAAACATAATAAAAGAAATAAAAAAATAAAAAGAAGAAACCCAACCAGCTAGAGGGAAGCCTCTGTCACCTCTTTGAACAGGCTTCCAGATCCAAGGCCAGCCTAGGGGTTGAAAGCCTCAGACCCCATCCACTGTGATCCCTCCTGCCCCTGCACCCATCTGGCCTGGGAACTCCCAGAGCAAGAGCCTGCCTCTGTCTGGGGCTATCCTCCTCCCTGAGGGCTTCACACTTGGGCAAAGTAGGGAATGCCAAAGCCACCATAGCTTCCTCTGAGGGCTGTCCACTCTCCACTCAGACCTGCGGTCCCCAGTTCCCCGTAACTGTGCCTGGGAAGGTCTGTTGAGTGACTGGCCCGAGGTCAAGGTCAAAGGTGACCAAGAATTAGCATGGACTGAGGTGCCAGGTGCTGTGGTGAGCCTGTCACGTGTTTAATGAAGACAATCATCTCACAGCTTTGACAGAGCCTGGATGGAGATACATTGTTTTCTAAGAAGCAGCAGCCCCGCCAGGTGGGGTCTGCTTGTTTCAGGCAGTGTCCCTTGGGGGAGGTGGGGACCTGGTTTGGACACTAATGCTGCCCTCTGTTTTTTTCAGAGCTGTGCCCACAACACAGTCCCCTGGACCCCACTCCCCACACTCTGGTGCAGCCCATCTCTGCTATTCTGGCCTCTGACCCCAGCAGCTGCCCACGCTGCCAGCATGAGGCAGGCAGGCGGCCCTCAGGCCTGGGCAGCACGGACTCAGGCCAGGAAGGCTCGGGCTCCGGGGGCTCTGCAGAGGCTGAGGCCAACGGGGACGGACCCCAGAGCAGTGAAGAGGGGACCTCCTCCGGCTTGGGGAAGGAGGAGGAGCAGGAGGAGGGCGCAGCCCGACTGTGCGGCGACGTGTGGAGAGAGACACGAGCCAAGCTGCGAGGCATCGTAGACAGCAAGTACTTCAACAGAGGCATCATGATGGCCATCCTGGTCAACACTGTCAGCATGGGCATCGAGCACCATGAACAGGCCAGCGAGGGCACAGGGTGGGGCTGGGGTGGGAGGTGGGGGAGAAGCAGGCCAGTGTGGAGCATTGGGTTCAGGTTGGACGGGGAGGGGACGGGCACACCCAGTCGAGGCTGAGCCCACCCCCACGTCTATCTCCTTGACCCTGGCTAGAGTAATCTAACCCTTCCATATGGCTTCAAAGCCTTGCCTAAGATAACACTTGGAGGGGGTGGGGGTGGGGGTGGGGGGGCAGATGCTCTTGGGTATCTGCAGAATGAATGGATGATGAGTGTGGCTCAGGACAGGACTTCATGAGGTTGGGACTCCACTCAGGGGCTGCCCACTTCTTTTCCTCCTAAGCTGCCCGGAAGTCTGCACTCCATAGGGCACTCCTGGGCTAACAGCCTGTCTCATCCTGGCTCCATTTGGAGTAACCCTATTTCCTGGCTCCTGTCCACTAGCCCTTTTTGGAGGGTGTGGCTTCCTTGGCCTGCTCCTCAGCCTGGTAGGGCACCCCCCACTTGCCAGATGGCTATGCCAGGCCCACTGACTTCGAGGTCCCTCAGATAGCCAGCAACCTGGCTTGAACCCACCTACTGTGGCGAGATTGACACCCCAGCAGGAACTGGATTCTGAGTCCCCTTGGCTATGGTGTCACCGTCATTCTGCAAACCCCTTCTCTGTGCCTAGAGGGGGCCACGCTCTTCATTTCCCTGCTCATTAGCTCACCAAGCACAGGCTTCATTCAATTTAGTTAAATGTGGCCCCTGGGGCTGCCACCAACACTCTGTTGGTACTGCCAGTTTGCCAGCTATTCTGACTTAATTAAAAAGATCTTTGGGGAGGGCTGCGGGGTGAGATCTCTGCAGGGGGAAGCTGATGAGAGGAGAGGACTATCCTTTGCCTCAGGGCCCCCGGCCTGTCAGAATGCAGAGACCCAGCTGGGTTTACACACTTGAGGAAGGTGCTGGGGGAAGAGCTGCTATTGGGTGCCTGGCTCTGGTGTCTACACCCTGCTATACCGGAGTCGGAGCTGTCTCTGGCTTCCTGGAACCAGTTGGTGAGAGCCAATTTTCTCACACTTGGGAATTTAGCAAGCAGTTGTTAAATAGTAACTGGTTTGAAATGGGTTATGGAGAAAGAATTTACACCATGGAAAGTGGCAGATGCTACAAGGCAAGGCTGTTTCTCACTGGTGGGTTTGTTTGGACCCCACTGGTCTTTGCCTTCTCGAAGAGTCTCCAAGACAACAATCAAGGCAGCTTTTCCTTTCACTTCCAGCCTGACCTCGGGCCAGTCATGGTTCCTGCATGAGTCTGCTCAGGGTCTTTTCTGGCTCATCTCTTGTCCCTGCCATATCCCACTTGAGCAGGCTTCCTTTCTTTAAAATATTGCTTTGAGCTGGGCACGATAGTGCTTGCCTTTAATCCCAGCACTCGAGAGGCAGAGGCAGGTGGATCACTGAATCTGAGCCCATCTTGGTCTAAAGAGCTTGTTCGTGGACCGCCAGGGCTACTCAGAAACCCTGCCCCGAAAACACAACCACAAAAACCGTTTGTTTTTATTACATCTTTACCCATTGAGCTGACACCTCACTGGGCCCCTTGAGCAAACTTCCTAATTCTGCTGGAGCTTCTTCCATTGGCACAGCAGAAGTCACGTGGTACTGCAGTCGCCTCCTGCCTGGGGTCCCCACCTGCCTGAAAGACGCTCCTGACATGTGTAGGGTCTACCCTGATCTCCCCATCTGCAACCTCAACTGAGAGATGTCTCCCTCCGAGGTATATCACTGGAAACTTAGTAAGCTCCAGGCCTCAAGAGAGCAGGGTGTCCCTGAGTCCTCACAAGTATTTTCCAAGCGGGTGTCACAGCTTCCTGTTTTCACACTTGGAAGGCCACTGCTTGGGGGCCATATCCTTCATTTGTGGTCTGGATTCCGACCCTGGTTCTTCTGCTGATAGACCGGGTGGCCGTGGGAAAGTCAATTACTTACCTAGCTAGTGTCTCTATCTACAGATAAATCAGACAGTCCCCCCACCCCATCCCCAACACACACACACACACACACACACACACACACACACACACACACACACACACACACACACGGTGGTCGGGAAGGGCAAATGTGTGGATTCTGGTTGTCTAGCAGGCATTCATGACTCCATCATTACTAGCAGGTCTTTTGTCTGAGTCTTCTGTCCCTAGCCTGGGTGAGTTTACCATCTACTGTCTGGAGCCTCAAAAATTAATTAAAGAAGAAGCAAGGAGGAGGAAGCATTTTTAAACCATTCTTTTTAAAGCAGTACCAAGTGGCAGCCATTGTTCAGCTGGGAGCTGCACAGGGCCGCTGGTATTTTTGTTCCTCGCCCTGGGCTCTCAGACATCTCTCTGCGGGAAACCGATCCGCCCCCAGGTTTATTTTGAGCATCCCCCACTGAGGTGGCACCCACAGTGAGAGGTGGCCCAGGCATGCAGATGGCATGCAAGGAAAAAGGGGAGAGTGTCACAGGTCCTTTCCCCCTGCCTCCACTGGGCCCTGCACCCCACCCGGGCCTGCAGAAAACTCTGTGTACCACTTGCAAAGGGACAGGTGGTGAGGTCCTGGCTTGTCACCCCTGCCTCCCTAATTATAGGGAGCTCAGTACAGATGCTCATGGCCTTTAGCATGACCACTGCTGCTCAAATAATGTAATGGAGGGCCATCACCATGAACACTTTGCTGGTTCGGGCTCCATATGTCTGCAAATATTCCTTGTAGGGCTTGGCCTGGAAGGAAGTCCCAGGTAAAAGGATGTCAGCCAGTCATGGACCTGCATGTGTCTGATGAAGAGAGAGATAATGCCCAACAAGGGCAGGGTGTGTCTTGATGGAAGAGCACTTGCCTAGCATGTCCTGGGTTCAATTCCCAGCACCAAAAAAAAAAAAAAAAAAAAAAAAAGGAGTCCCCAGGAATCTTGGGAGATTTGAGAAGTCTACACCCCTTGGGTTGTCTCTGGTTGAGTTGTGGGACCGCAAGTAGAGTCAGGTCAACTTGGCTGCCAGGTTTCATCTTCACAGAAGCCCTGGAGGGCAAGCAGGGTATGTGTCTCATCCCTACTGGGAAGATGCAGGCAGATGGGGAAACTGAGGAAGGTGAACAGGCTGCCCACGTGACCTGACAAGCAGCTGGCAGGACTGGCTCCGGGGTGCAGAGTGCAGAGAGCAGCTGTGAATGATCATAACAGAGGTGGGGCACAGTCAGGAAGACACTCGGAGTAATGCCCGCCTTAGTGTCTCCCTGACTAGACCTGGGACTCCTCTCGAGCTGGCCAGGGCCACCCTGAAGCCTCATCTCGGCCTCGGTGAAGGCTGGTCAAGGCGGAGAGTGAAAAGCAGAGGCTTGTGTGGAATGGGCACCATGAGGGGGTCCCCCCAAGCTTAGGGATACCCCACTCTAAGATGTAGGATCATTTTGGTTCAGGCCTTCCCAGTAGTGGGTGACTCAGAGCTCATTGGGTACCTCCTGTCAAGTAACCCAGGCTTAGGGTGACTCTGGGAAGAGGATTATGGGATGGTTTAGTGCCTGACGTTTTAACTCTGTGAGAGCCTCATGAGAGAAAGAGGCACTAACGTGGGTCACAGCCAAGGAGGGCTTCCTGGAAGAGATGGCACTGAGGATGGATTTTGGAGGATGACCACAAATCATCAGTCAGAAAGACAGGTACAAAGGAGGGGCGGGACCCAGAGCTTTCAAGAAGGCGTGTGCAAAGGGTGTGGTGGACAGCCCATGGACAAGCAGGGCTGCTTATCCACGGAGGGCCTCAAGGACGCTTCTATCCTCGGCGCAGTGGGGAGCCAGGGAGGGCTTTAAGCAGGGGAATAATGTCTGCTGAACAAACTTTTTCTAAAATGTGTCCCAGTGATGGCACCTGGTTCACGGCAGAGGGAGGAGACACGACTCCAGAGCGGATTCCGTCTTGGCCTGGTCGTGACCCCGACTCTCACCTTGACCATTCTCTTCCTAACTATTAAGTGGGGACAGCTTAGACAAGACTGAAGCTTAGCCGATCAGGGCATAGAAAGTACTTCCCACACCCACCCTAGGGAGGAACTCAGCTGATGTCTGCTGCCATTGTCGCCACGGTGCCGGGCTGGGCTTGAGGGCTTCCTAGACTAGGTCAAAGACCCTTGCATGCCCTTTCATCTACCCCTGCAGAGGTGGCCAGAAGCTGGGCAGCCTGGGGCCACTACACCCAGCATTGGGCCAGGGTGAGACCCTGTACCTTCGAGATGTAAGCTGGTGTTTTCTGACCTGGACCGACCACCTGCTCTTTCACAGGGTGCATGTTAGGCCTTCCTGTTAGACTTCTCACTGTCTGTTGTCCTGTCTGTCTGTCTGTGATGTTTGTGTTGCCTCTCCTTTCCTGGCGTGACTCTGACTTCCACCATGTCACTGTGTCTCAATCTGTCTCCCTTTTCCCCCCCGCTAAAATAGGATCTCATGCAGCCTAGGCTGGCCTTGAACTCAATAGGTCGTCGACAATGACCTTGAAATTCTGATCCTCCTGCCTGCCGCCAACCTCTGGCGTGCTAAGATTACAGGTGTGCGCTGCCCTATCAAGTCGGTGGGTGTGGTGCTTGCACTTTGGACCTCGTGCGTGTTAGACCAGCGCTCCCCCGACAGAGCCGCATCCGAAGACCATCTTCTGTACGTCAAAGGCAGAGGCAGAAGCCCTGTCGAGGTCCAGGCTTTCGCCTCTGCCCCTTGCTCACCGTGTCCCTGTCTGTCTGTCCATCCACCTGGCTTACATCTCTGCATCTCTACCTCGTCCCTTCCATCCCCCACTTGGCCTCCCACTTGTGGTGTCTATATTCATCTGTCTGCCTCTCTCCAGCCTGCCTCTCTCCCAGAAAAAAAAAAAATGCTCCTGGGAGAGATGGATGGTCCATTAGAGGAAGATTAGCAGGTGTGCGCTGCCTGGAGAAACAGCTGTTGCGGGGGAAGGGGGGAGGCGAGTTAGTGACCTTTCTGAAGCGCTGTGGCTCCAGCACGGTTGGAGCGAACGTGTACACATTGTATGCGGCTAAGAGCCAGCGGATGGCCATCACGGACCTGTCAGCAGCCACCCTACTCATCTCCAAAGATTTGGCTTGGGTGGGCTGGGTGAGCAGCGTCAGAATCCCTCCCACCCACACCCTTCCCAGGGTCCTTCTCCCCTGGCATTTTGTGAGTCAAATGTAATTACGGATGGAAATGGGTCCCTCTCCTTTTATCTGGGCTTGAGAGGAACTGGCGGTTTTATTGGATTTCCTGGGCACTAGATGGGAGGCTGGTGGCTGCATAATTTTTTCTTTCTTCTTGTAAGCCATGTGGAATGAAAGTTGGGCCCCTGGGGTTCCCTGCTGCTCGGTGGAAGGGCTGAGCTTGGAGTCAGGGTGCTGGCAGGCAGAGGATGGCTTGCTGTCGTGGCACTTGTCTGTCACCCAGCCCTTGCCCTGGCTGGGCCTTTGGCTTGGTGACCCTTCTCCGCTCCCCTGTGTCACTAGCTCTCTCCTTTTACTTCCTGCCTGGCTCCCTAGCACTGTCCCTCAAGCCATACTTAGCTTTACTGGTGTTGATGGGTACTGGCTTGCTGTGTTTTAGGATGATCTGTGGGACTCTGTCACCGAGAGTGGGCATCCCCCTACCCGCTGCAGGAGCATAGGCCCAGCACAGTGCAGGCTCTTGGAAGACCTATGTGATACACCCAGGAGTGAACAGATGAATGAATGAGTGAATGGGCTGGTTCAGGCAGGGTTACTGTGGGCTGCAACAGAATCTACTATTCTTGCTGGGTGGTTCTGTGCAAGTCGGTTCCCATCACCAAGCCGGTTTCCTTAGTTATCAAATGGAAAGATCAGTGGTGGTCTATCAGGCTTTGCGGTTCAATGAGGGCGGAATAAGTGGCCATTCTTTTTCTAGGATTCAGACAGGAGCCATGGTGTTCCCTTGAGCATAAGCTAGGCCCTTCACTGTAGAGAGGAAAGCCTCCTTGCCTGTCCCTTATCCAGAGGCTACGAGTCCATGAGGCTGTGTACTCTACACCTTGCTCATGGATAAGGGGAGGGAGGCTCAGAGGCAGGGGCCCATGCCTGGAGCCATCTTCTTTATCCCCCATGGCGCCGTTTGTTTGAAAGCAGGGTCCTCAGTGGTTCCATTCCAAGCTGCCTCTTAAAACCCTGAGAGAAAGAAGTCCAGGGATAGAGGGAGGCCTTGGCTGAAGAATGGGGGTCCGGTGTCACCAGCTAGTGACTCTGGACACTTCCCTTGCTCTTCTTGGTGTTCCCTGAGAGCCACTGTGGAGGTGTCCCGTGCCCAGGGCTGTGCCTGGCATGTGGTAGGTGCCCTGTCTTTGACTTCCACTTCCTGGCAGCATGTGAGAGGCGGACCCAGCTGTAACACGGGTAGTGTAATGCCTCCCAGTGCACAGTACCAGCACCACTTGTGGGCTGCCTCACTCCTTAGTAGATGCCACCCCTCCCCCAGGATCCAAAGGTAGCACAGCTAAGAAGCCCTAAAGACTATGGTGCAGTAACAGGGACCCACCAGGGTCACACGTTCTCCACCTGCACCCCCCACAGCCCGAGGAGCTGACGAACATTCTGGAGATCTGTAATGTTGTCTTTACCAGCATGTTTGCCCTGGAGATGATCCTGAAGTTGGCTGCCTTCGGGCTCTTCGACTACCTGCGGAACCCTTACAACATCTTTGACAGCATCATTGTCATTATCAGGTAGGCACACTGCCACCCCGCCACCCCGCAGCTGAGGAGCAGGAGGGAGAGCCCCAACCCCTAACAGCACAGGGAGTCTCGGAATGACAAAGGAAACCATTACTGACAGGCGGTTATCCAAATACCAAACAAACCGGGTAATTTAGTAGTATATGCTTCTGCATTAATGCGCTCAATAGACAGGTAGCAGTGAGTTTGAGGCTACTGGAGTTCCGAACAGGGGTTGGAAACACACAGGAATAGCTAATTATGCAACCTGAAGATATCAGCTATTTCGATTGCCCACGAAATCATGGCTATGGTTGGCTCTCTGGTTTGTTGTTTACGTTCATAGTCAAAAGAAGCATGCAACCTCAAAAAGAGGACAGGACAGTGACACTCAGAGACTTGTGAGGCTTCAGACAAAGACTGCTGCCTCCTCTCTGTCTTTCTTTATGTGTGTGCGTGGGCATGTGTGCATGAGCACATGTGTGTAGGTCAGAGGACAACTTGGCAGGAGTCACTTCTCTCCTACTCTGTGGGTCCTGAGGATTGAACTCAGGTCTTCAGGCTTGGTTGCAAGCTTCTTGACCTGCTGGGCCATCTCACCAACTCTAGAGCCACAGGATTGTTCTTAATGCAGGATCTGTGGGCTCCTGGCTAGGAAACCCCGGTTTAAGGAGTGTTGTGGAGTAGTACCAACACCATTTGATAGATGGATGGATGGATGGATGATGTTAGCCGTTCCCCTGTTCTCCTTGCCCTGTCTGCCTCTTCCATCTTCCTATCCTCTTGGCCTCCCACTGACCCCTTCTGCCTCCCCCAACACTGGCTGCAGCATCTGGGAAATCGTGGGGCAGGCGGACGGAGGCCTGTCGGTGCTGCGCACCTTCCGGCTGCTGCGGGTGCTGAAGCTGGTGCGCTTCATGCCGGCGCTGCGGCGCCAGCTCGTGGTGCTCATGAAGACCATGGACAACGTGGCCACCTTCTGCATGCTGCTCATGCTCTTCATCTTCATCTTCAGGTGAGCCCTGACCACCCAGGACTCAACAGTGGGGGCCTGATGGGGGCTGGGGGCGTGAGCCTGGGATGTGGTGGCTGATGGAAGTTCCTAGGGACAAAGCTGCCAGGATCTGGCTGGGAATCCCGGCACCACCACTCAACCCTGATGACTCCGGGCAGGTCCTTCCTTTGAGCCCCAGCATTCCCCTCTATTAACACGGACTTGAGATCTCCCTCTGTTCTGGTTCTGGGTGGTGTTGGGAGTTGCAGAGAGCTCAGTGTGCTGAGTCTCCTGAGCCGTTTCCCTCCCTTCCACAGCATCCTTGGGATGCATATCTTCGGCTGCAAATTCAGCCTCCGCACGGACACTGGAGACACAGTCCCCGACAGGAAGAACTTTGACTCCTTACTGTGGGCCATTGTCACAGTGTTCCAGGTGAGTGCCAGCTGCAAGTTCATGGATTTGGGGTGTGTGTGTGTGTGGGGGGCGGGGCTGGGGGAACATCTGGAGAGCAGGTCTGGGAGGGGCTGAGGCTGACAGTCTGGGCTTGCGAGGATCCCAGGACTGAGCTGTGTCCTTCTCAACAGATCCTCACTCAGGAGGACTGGAATGTCGTCCTCTACAATGGCATGGCCTCCACCACTCCATGGGCCTCCCTCTACTTCGTTGCCCTCATGACCTTCGGCAATTATGTACTCTTCAATCTCCTGGTGGCCATCCTGGTCGAGGGCTTCCAGGCTGAGGTAACTGTAACCCTGGGCGGGTCACTGGGCAGGGGACGGGGAGCCTGGTGTGGGGGGGGATAAGTACCAGCTCATAATTTTAGCAAGTAACATCCTCCCGAAGTAGAGCTGCCAATGAGGCGGCGAGCTTCCCATCCCAATCCTGGATACAAATGGGAACTGCATGCAGGAGCCTTCTCTACCTCAGATTCTAAAGCCTCCAAGATCTGGCTTTCTTCCATTCTGTTGGGCTTTGGGGAGTGCTGGAAGTCAGGAAGACTGGGTTTTGTGGCTGAAGTCCTCATTAACCTCTCAGGTCCCTGGTCTGAACCAGTTTCCCCATCTATACAAGGAGGGTGGAAGCAGCCATTGAAAAATCCCAAGGGCGGGGTGGGAAAAGGCAGAGCCGACCTGTTCCAATGTGAGCTGATCTCCCAGGGTGATGCTAATCGCTCCTACTCTGATGAGGACCAGAGTTCATCCAACATGGAGGAGTTTGACAAGCTCCCAGAAGTCCTGGACAACAGTGGGGGTAAGCTCACATCCACTTTCCACTCAGGGTCAGGAGCCTTATGTAGATTCCCAGGTGGACACAGGGCACAGTGGCTTCCCCATGAAGCCTAGGCTCAGGGACTCCTTTCTGTTTTTTATGATTCTACCCGAAAGAGATGCTTGGTTTCAGAAATGGACATTCACGGACATTCTGGGTTCCCCTAGAAAGCCCATCTGCTTCCCTTCCCACATGGGGCCCCAGTGTCTTAGGACATGGCCCGAATTCCGGTCATGTCTGATACCACTCGGTAGCCTTTTCCAACCAAGCCCAGTGTCCCTGCCTGTGAGCATGGAAGGGAGGTCCTCCTGCTGGGTAGAGGTCTAGGTTGGCCCTAGAACAGAAGGAAGGGTTCATGAAGAGGTAAATAAGCAACCTCGTAGGGAGGAGGGAGGAAGGCACGCAAAATAGGTAGCGACCACCAGGATTTCCTGGCAGAGGATGTCTCCCCAGAAAGGCTCTCCATCTACAAACATCTACTTCTGATTGTCTCATGGCTTCCTCTGCTCTTCCCTCTGTCTGTCTGTCTGCTGTCTTCATCTCACACCTCCAGATCTCAAGCTCTGCCCAATACCCATGACACCCAATGGACACCTGGACCCTAGTCTCCCCCTGGGTGGGCATCTGGGTCCTGCTGGTGCCATGGGCACTGCCCCCCGCCTCTCACTGCAGCCGGACCCGGTACTGATGGCCCTAGACTCCCGCAAAAGCAGCGTCATGTCGCTGGGCAGGATGAGCTATGACCAGCGTTCCTTGGTGAGTCCTGTGGATGCTATGATGGATGCTCCCCGCTGGAGGTGGAGGGCACTAAGGGACTGTGGCACGAAGTGCCCTGGCTAGGGTACCATACTATCTAGTCTAAATAGGGTCTGTGTTTATGGCAATTCTGGGTGCTGTGTGCCAGAACAGGTCTTGGTAGCTGGAATAAAAGTCGGTGGTCTGGTGGAGAGACCTAGGATTTCATCTTGGTAGCAGTGTATCGACTTAGGGGGTGAGGCCAAATGGAAGTTTAATCTGGCCTCTGCCGCCTCTGAGCTGTGTAAAAGCAACCAAATTATCACCTTTCTCTGAGTCTCAGTTTCCTTACCTGGAAAGCAAGCCCTTGTTTACTATATGCTTTGCTCCAAGAAGGAGGGGTTTAACCCGAGTCATACATTCGAGTGGGTGGGCTCACTCTAGCGTTGCTGGCAGGAGGTCCGGGCCTTGGTGCTAGATTGTGGTGTGGGTGGCTGCTGATCCAAGCCCGGGCCTCTCCGCAGTCCAGCTCCCGGAGCTCCTACTATGGACCCTGGGGCCGCAGCGGGACCTGGGCCAGCCGTCGCTCCAGCTGGAACAGCCTGAAGCACAAGCCACCATCAGCTGAGCACGAGTCCCTGCTCTCGGGGGAGCGTGGTGGCAGCTGTGTCAGGGCCTGTGAAGGTGCCCTGGAGGAGGCGCCGCCCCGCCCCGCACCCCTGCATGCCCCACATGCCCACCACGTGCACCATGGACCCCACCTTGCGCACCGTCACCGCCACCACCGCCGGACGCTGTCCCTCGATACCAAGGACTCGGTGGACCTGGCAGAGCTAGTGCCCGTGGTGGGCGCCCACTCACGGGCTGTTTGGAGGGCAGGGGGCCAGGCTCCGGGGCATGAGGATTGTAATGGTAGAATGCCCAACATTGCCAAAGATGTCTTCACCAAGATGGATGACCGCCGTGACCGTGGGGAGGACGAGGAGGAGATCGACTATGTGAGTAGGGACTGGACAGGACCCCTGAGAAGCTGGAGACTGTGAGAGCAGTCTGCGGGGGCTGGAAGAGGCAGATCCAAGGGACATGGCTTTGGGTTGTGCTGAAGTGGTGGGTGGGGCTGGAGGGCGGGGCTAGAACTGCCCACACCTGACCTACCCTGTTGCCAATCCTTCTTCGTTTGGGGGCTGGGGGAAGAGTTGAGAATTCATCCCATGCCCCCCAGTTTGTTGGCTGGCAGAGTGGGAAGAGAGGGGTCACTCTGCGCGGCACCAACCCCGGCACCTGATTCCTTGCCTGGCCAGACCCTGTGTTTCCGCGTTCGCAAGATGATTGATGTCTACAAGCCTGACTGGTGCGAGGTCCGTGAGGACTGGTCGGTCTACCTCTTCTCTCCTGAGAACAAGTAAGTAGTGGCTGGCCGGGAGTGAGGGCCAGAGGAGGATTATTTTGCCTGGGAGGGAGAATTATTTACCAAGCTGGACAAGGGCACCTCCATAAGCCAGAGAGAGGAGGGTCTTCAAGGAAAGGGGAGGTTCCAGATGTCCCTCCTCGGCTTTCCTGAGCATCTCTTTTGTTTTTGAGCCAGCCTCGTGTTGGGCACAAGCCTGGGCAGATCCACGAGCAGCCTGAAAGCTCAGTTGGCGCCCTTCCCATCAGGGGCCTTTGTGTTGGGTGTTGGAGGCAGATAAAAAGTTGGCACCTGTTGAATGGCTACAGGAAGGGAGAGGGATCCCTTCCTCTAACCCATTCTGGTCCCTGAGTGTGTGTATTGGTCCTCTGTCTTCTTTCTGGCCAGAGTGGGAGGCAAACTGACCCTCTTGGGGCTTCCTTGACTTCCGCTTAGGTTCCGGATCCTATGTCAGACTGTCATTGCTCACAAGCTCTTCGACTACGTGGTCTTGGCCTTCATCTTCCTCAACTGCATCACCATCGCTCTGGAGAGGCCCCAGATTGAAGCTGGTAGCACTGTGAGTGGCTGCGACCCTGGGGCTGGGCAGAGGGTCACACACTGGTGATGGCCAAGGTGGGGGGGAGCCCAGGAAGAGCTCAGCTAAGCCAGAGACTTAGCATGCAGAGAGAGAGAGAGAGAGAGAGACAGAGAGACAGAGAGACAGAGAGACAGAGAGACAGAGAGACAGAGAGAACAGGGAGCTTGTCTGTGGGAGTGGAAGGCCACTAGATCTGAGAAGTGGTAGCCCTAGCGGCTGCTCCTGGCTGGAGCAGAGGCTGATTAGGCACCCGGGCAGTTGTGGAAAACTTGGACTCACGGCTCCCCCCACTCTTTCAGGAGCGCATCTTCCTCACGGTGTCTAACTACATCTTCACAGCCATCTTCGTGGGCGAGATGACACTGAAGGTTGTTCTGGGCTTCACCAGCATCCTTCCCACCCCCACCTGGAGCCCCTGGCCTAGGCCTCACCTCTCCCGCTGGCCTGGTCCTTAACAACATTTCACAGGCCCCAGAGGTCCACTCCTGTTGGGCTCTAGACCCTGGGTGGAGCTTCTGGGATGAGAGGGGGTCAGTGTCTCCCTCTTCTCCAATCATCAAACCCAGCTAGAAAGGCATGTTTAGGTAGAAGCATTACTCTGGGACGCTTCCCAGTGTGGGTGGCTTTGGAGAGCGATCTTGTAGTCATGCTCTGAGACCATAGCTTGGAGACTTCCCTGGGCCCAGACCCTGGTCCTTCCTACTTATCATCAGCCCTCAGAAGAGCCATCATCATGAGCCACACCCTACCCATCACCTCCGTACAGGAGTCAGACCTGATCTCCCTTTGTCCTGTCCCTGGGTGGGAGTCTTCTGGACCCATCCACTTCCCAAGGTTTGACCCCAACCCCGCCTCCAGGTGGTTTCTCTGGGCCTGTACTTCGGTGAGCAGGCATACTTACGCAGCAGCTGGAACGTACTGGATGGCTTCCTAGTCTTTGTGTCCATCATCGATATTGTGGTATCTGTGGCCTCCGCGGGGGGAGCCAAGATTCTGGGGGTCCTCCGGGTTCTGCGGCTCCTACGCACCTTACGTCCTTTGAGGTAAGGACCCTGTCACAACGTATGGGGGTGGAGTGGAGGACAAGTGTTGCTACACTGTGTAGGGAAATTGCCTGAGTCTAAGGGGATCGTCACTCTGGCTAGGCAATGCAGGCTCCCAAGAGCATTGTGTCAAGCATACCACATTGCTGGGGGAGGAGCCAAAGAGCCTAGGACAAGGGCTCACATTGCTTCCATGGTGTGACCTCCTCTGTGTTCCTGGGTGGTTCACTGCCATCTCTTGGTGTCATTTCTTGGGTGTGGTGTGTACCCTCTGGGGACTGGGTGAGGGGTCAAGTACCCTTCTGTGTATTGATCTAGGCAGAGATTGCTGCTCACCCCCGTCCTAGGTAACCTGGCTACTGTCTCTTCATTTCCTGTTGGGACCTCGCCTTTCAGGAGGCCTGGTGACTGTGGGCTGAGTTGGGGATGTCTCTCTGCTGGCTCACAGTGTCCTGTCCTTCCTTGACTGCCTGCAGGGTCATTAGCCGGGCCCCTGGCTTGAAGCTGGTGGTAGAGACACTCATCTCTTCCCTTAAACCCATCGGCAACATCGTGCTCATCTGCTGCGCCTTCTTTATCATCTTCGGCATCCTGGGGGTGCAGGTGAGGGGGTGCCCACTTTGTGGGGTGACAAGAAGCCCAGCACAGCCTATTCGTACCTACCCCACCACACCTGTGTTCACTCACTTGGGGATTCACGTGGTCTTGTTGGAGCCAAGTGAAGGAGACAGACCCAACCTGGGTTGATTGAGTAAGGGGCAGGTTGTGTGGGCCAATTCCTGGAGGACCTTTTCCTCCTCCGATTGGGCCTCCCTCACTCCAAGCAACCAGCTCTGCCCCCTTTCACAGCTTTTCAAGGGAAAGTTCTATCATTGCCTGGGAGTGGACACCCGAAACATCACCAACAGATCTGACTGTGTGGCAGCCAACTATCGCTGGGTACATCACAAATACAACTTTGACAACCTGGGCCAGGTGAGCACTTCAGGGGTTCCAGGCCCGGCTCTAGTCCTGCACTGTTGGGACAGACCCTGTGATTTTTTTCCCCTTCTGAGCAGCAGTTTCCCATCCTGCAAAGTGGGTAGGCTGCACACAGGAGGGGTGAGGCTGGTACCCTGCATGCAGAATCTGCCAGCATGTGAAACTTGGCAGGTATTTCAGGAATCCTGGTTCTGGTCTTGACTTCCCATCCAAGGGACAGTAATGGGAGTTTTAGAGCCATCCACACTTGGGCATACACCCCAGCTTTTTTTTTGGTAGGGGTGTTCTCTCTGAGGTTCAGTTTCTTTCTCTGTCAAATGGGCAAGCTGAACTCGGGACCAGTCCATTAGACCCTTTGGCCTGGTGGCTTCTCTTTCCTAACAATTTAGTCAGCGTGCAGGGTCCCACGTTGCCTTTGGTACCCTCTCCTGCGAGCCTGATGCATTTGGGTAATGTTCCAGGTGAGAGCTGCCTCCAAAGAGCCTTTGTTCCCTAGCCCCACAAAGACCTCCAGGCAGCTAGGTATTTGCAGAGAGGGGACTGTCTTTTTTCCCCAGGGTGCAAGAAGAAACAGGGTCCAAGCTGGCGCCCCCACTACTGGTGGCTCCTCACTGGTGGCCCCCTCACTGGTGGCCCCCCTTTGTCCCTTCACTGGTAGTCCCTCACTACTACCCCCCACTGGTGGCCCCTCCCTTTGCCCCCTCACTGGTGGCCCCTCCCTTTGCCCCGCTACTCACTGGTGGTCCCCTCACTGGTGGCCTATGGTAGATTCCCTGATGCTCACTCACAGGTCTACACTCTCACACTTGACTTAACGCTGGAGGCTGGGTTGAGACCCAGGGCTCCTAAGCTTCTGATTCCAGGTCCTGGGGACTCCTGGGGTGACAATGGCACAGCCCCTCAGGCTTGTCAGGAAACTTCCCATCTAAAGACTCGCTGCCCCTTTCACAGGATCCTGTGCTCCTGCCGTGGGTGGATCAGGGCATGGGAACTCATGGACTTTCTTGCTGGACATCTCACAGTTACTGCTGGAACTGAGATGGTAGCTCAGGACTCTGGCTCCAGCTCTCCTTCTACCTCCACAATAGCAGCTGCAGGGCACTCAAGAGGCACACAGTAGGTGTTCAGAGAGGCCATCAGCAGAGGGCACAGCTCTACTACTCAGGAAGACCTCTTTGTCTTTTGGTCTTCTAGAGGCAGAACAATGGAGGACTGATGTACCCACATCTCTTACCCCCACCTCTTCCTTTGTTTTCCAGGCACTGATGTCCCTCTTTGTCTTGGCCTCCAAGGATGGCTGGGTGAACATCATGTATAATGGATTGGATGCTGTTGCTGTGGACCAGCAGGTGGGCATGGCTTGGGCCACAGCTGCTGAGGATGGTGGGGAGGGACCCGTAAGTCACCTCTGGCTCTTGGTCTCCTAGGACCCACCAGATTAGATCTGGAGCTAGAGGAGGTGAGGAGGGTCAGGGGTGATGAGTACACTTGTGAGTGTCCCTCTACTCCTTGTCCGCCTCTCTTCTCTTCCTAGCAGTGGACTCCACCCACTATTCTGCGCTTGGCTGTCTCCTGCTCACTTGGTTTTCTGCTTTGTTTATGGATGGATGAATAAGTGGGTGGGTGGGTAGGTGGGTAGGTGGGTGAGTGGATGGGAGGATGGGTGAGTAGATAGATGGATATGGTGTGGGTGTGAAGGTAGATGAATAGATGGATGGGCAGGTGCATAGATGAGTCTATGAATGGGTGAATGGATATATGGATAGATGGATAGACAGATGACAGACAGACAGGTCTATAGATAGGTAGATAGATAGATAGATGATAGATAGATAGATAGATAGATAGATAGACAGACAGACAAATAGATAAATAAGTAAATGAATGAAGGGCCAGGTGGTGGTGATGCATGCCTTTAATCTCAGCAAAGGAAGCAGAAGCAGGCAGATCTCTGAGTTCGAGGCAAGCCTGGTCTACAGAGTGCATTTCAGGACAGCCAGGGCTACACAGAGAAAGCCAGTCTCAAAAAAAAAACCAACCAAAAATTAAACTAAACTAAAATCAAAGAGATGAATGAGTGGGTGGGTGAATGGGTAGATGACTGGGTTCATGGATGAAAAGATGTGTGGGTAGATAGATGGATGGATGAGTAGGTGGGATGATGGGTAGATATAAATAGGTTGGATAGATAGTGGGTGAATGGATGGATGAGTGAGTAAATGGGTGAGTAATGGAATTATGGATTAGATATATGGTGGATGGATGGATGGATGGATGAATGGGTGAGTGGGTAGATGGGTGGATAAGGGCTAGATGGATTGAAAAGATGGTGGATGAATGGATGGATAGATGGGTGGATGAGATAAATGGGTGGATGAGTGAGTGGGTGGATGGGTGGGTGGGTGGATGGGTGGGTGAATGGATGAGTGAGTGGGTGGATGGGTGGATGGGTGGGTGACAGAGGAGTTGGGTAGATGGTGGGTAGATGAATGCTTGCATAGGTGAATAAGTGGTAGTCAATGAATAGACAGCAGACCAATGTGTGTAAAGAGAACCACAGGAGCAGGGAAGGAGAGGGCCCTTTTGCTGACCTCCTTACTCAGGTCAGGCTAGACATTTCCCGTTTGCTGTGTTGCTTTCACCGTGCACTTTGGAGGCAAGCTGTCCTAACTCCCGTTCCACCAAAGGCTTTGGTGAAATTAAGCGCACATCTGTGGCCCTGCTGTGCAGACCAGCCTCCTGAGCCCTCGCTCTGCCTCTCCTGCAGCCTGTGACCAACCACAACCCCTGGATGCTGCTGTACTTCATCTCCTTCCTACTCATCGTCAGCTTCTTCGTGCTCAACATGTTCGTGGGTGTGGTTGTGGAGAACTTCCACAAGTGCCGGCAGCACCAGGAGGCTGAGGAGGCCCGGAGGCGCGAGGAGAAGCGGTTACGGCGCCTGGAAAAGAAGCGCCGTAGTGAGCAGATGATGGAGGCTGGGATGGGCAGGGTCTCTCTACCCACTGCTGTGCCTCCTGGGTGGTGCCCTAGGGTGGGCCTGATTGAGGCCTGCTGGGCTTTTGGAAATGGAAGGGAACCAAAGATTTAATCCATCCTCTGCCCATGGCCCAGCCCCCTTCCCCAGCATCTACTTGTCCTGGTGACCTGAGACCTTCAGTGATGACATCACTGCCCACCTGAGTGAAGCCCTGGGTGCTGCAGTGCAGGCAGAGACAGAGGCAGTCTTTCTGAGTGGGAACTTTAAGAACACACCTCCCCTTGTGTTCTTCCTCATGCAAGTTGTGTATAGCTTTGGGGACAGTCATCCACCCCTGGATAGCCATCCTTAGGACCCTTGTCTCTACCAATCAGACCTAGAGTCCTTATCATGGGCCTTTTTTGGGGGGTATTTGGGAATAATATGTGTCCTAACATCTCTGCTGCCTGCTTCCAATATCTCATGGTTTCCCTCATGGTGCCCTGGCTGGTAGAGGAGTGCTAACTCTCATCTAGGACCTGGTGTGAGCCAGCATGCTTCTCTTGCTTTCTCCCTACCCATGGTCTCTCCTGCCTTTGTGCTCCTCTCTCTTCTTGGTCCATCCCCGTGTGGTCTGTGCCACTCTCCCATGCTCCCTGCAGAGGCTCAGAGGCTGCCCTACTATGCCACCTACTGCCCTACGAGGCTGCTCATCCACTCCATGTGCACCAGCCACTACCTGGACATCTTCATCACCTTCATCATCTGCCTCAACGTGGTCACCATGTCCCTGGAACACTACAACCAACCTACAGTGAGTCTTGGGGTCACCATCTAGTCTAAGGTCACTTGGTGAGAACCAGCCTTAGCAGGATCCCACCTCAGGGACAGGGTTGGGTAGAGGGCCAGCTAACTACAGCACCTATGAAGTCCCTCCATGATGGGCTTATTCCAGGTACTTGGTGGGTGGAGGTCCTGGTGAATTAGAAGATTGAAAGAAAAAGGTCACTCCTGGGGGAGGTGGGATTCGAGAACAGCCTAGAGCACAAGTGGTTATGGTGTGTTAATAGGGACTCTGCAAGGCATGGTGCATGCTTTAATCCTCATAGTAATGTCAATGTTGGGAGAACCTTTGCTTGGGGTTTCCAGATGAAGAAGTTGAGTCTCAGAGAGTAGGTAGCAGAGCCATAATTGGAACTTAGATTTGTGTTCAAAGTCTACTGGGGCCTCCACTGCCCACTGAGTATCCTGGGTCTAGAAGATGACTTTCTGGGGATAGGCCCATGGTAGGCATCCTTGGAATAGATGTCAGACAGCATGCCTGAGAAGAATGTAAGGGGAAGGTGCTTTCTAAAAGATTCCTCTCAGCAGAGTTGGCAGGAAAGGTGGAGCCAAGTCTCTGAGTGAAGAATTAGCATCTTATTTCAGTGGACAGAGAAGACTATTATGAAGTGAAAAGGAAGGGAACCATGGCAGAGTGAACAGTAACTGTAGAATTTCCAAATTAATGTGGAGAAATGGGATTATTACAGTTTACAATGACCAATTGTTTGTCCTGTGCCCAGCACTCAATCGTTAGCTCATTTAATCATCCCATCAGCTTTCTGATAGGCTGCTGGGGTTAATTTCCAAAAATTTTAATTGAAGAAACTAAGTGTCAGAGAGTTCAAACACTATCCCAGATCATAGATTAAATAAGGAACAAGTGCTAAGCCAGTATTCAAATCTATGCAGTCTAGGTTGGGGAATCCTTAACTACTACCCCATACTGTCTCCAAAGAGAAGCAACTGGGCTGGGCCAACACAAATAAGGAAATAACAATGTGAAATGACTACCACACATGAAGACATAAGGAATGAAAAGAAATATAAATAAATAAAAAGGAACAAAGCATTATATTAAATGTAAATGGACTAAACTCTCCCCTTAAAAGGCAGAGACTCCCTGGTTGTAGAAAGGTTCTGGGGCAGATCATAGTCCTGGACCATGCTTCTCTCCCCCCACTGCAGTCCCTAGAGACAGCCCTCAAGTACTGCAACTACATGTTTACCACTGTCTTTGTGCTGGAGGCTGTGCTGAAGCTGGTGGCATTTGGCCTGAGGCGTTTCTTCAAGGACCGGTGAGTGGCTGAGCAGGGTTGGGAAGAAGTCCTGATCTTTGGGAAAGCCTGAAAGAGCCAGTAACATCTAGCTATTGATGGCCACAGACTCCTAGCTGCTGACTAGACCCCTGGACAGGAAGCCATTAAGTCTCATTGGATGGATACAGGCTGTCTCAGCTCATCTTCTGTGGGTCCTCTGTAACCTGAAGACAGAACATGGTCTGCCCCATGCTAACTTTTCAGAGGAAGCAGCTGAGGCTCAGAATGCTCAACAGACTGGCCAAAAGCTATCCAAAGGTAGTTTAGACTATTTAGCTAGTTTAGGATTTAGACTTAGAAGTCAGAGTCCATGCCTCCTCCCCTACAGGAGGCCAGAGATGTTTCTTCAGCTTGGGCAGCTCCATGTTTAGGAAGGAAAAAAGCGAGACAGACTTGTTGTTATCATAGAGGATGGGTAGAAGAAAGGATATTCATACATTATAGTGGGCCCCATAGGAGTGTGAAGTGCTGGGAGATGGCCCTCCACTCAGGTGTGTCTGAGCCACTATGCTTTCCTCCCCCCGAGTCTCACTCCTGCCTCAACTGCCCTGCTGTACAGATGGAATCAGCTGGACTTGGCCATTGTGCTGCTGTCTGTCATGGGCATTACCCTGGAGGAGATTGAGATCAACGCAGCCCTGCCCATCAATCCTACCATCATCCGTATCATGCGTGTTCTGCGTATCGCCCGGGGTAAGTAGGAGACAGGACAGGACAGAGACAAGCAGGATCAGGAAGGGGACTCCTCATTGCTTAGGAGAGAGCATTTAGGAGTGGGGTGAGAGGTAGAACACATGAGCAAGAGAGGCTCTTGCTGAGTAGGGCAGAACAGGATCCAAAAGAAGCCCATGTATCACCCCTCTGTGTGCACAGCCTCCCACACACCAAGATGCCTACCCCATACTTGTGTACACCTCTCCTTCCTCATGACAGCACCATCTGTGTGGTCCAGTCTCAGGACTCAGTTCCAGGTTTGTGTGCTGTCTGGCATTTCTCCAGCCCCGTAGCAGGGACACAGCCCTCAACATGTCTTAGAATCCTCCTTTTCTCCCCAGAAGCCCTTCCTTCATCACCAAGATTTCCCTACTTTTTCAAAATCTTATTGCCAAGCAATGGCTGGGTGGTTCTTGCTCTTCTGCCCACCTCCTGTCCATTGCCTCCATGTTCTAAGGAGAGAGAGATGTGCAGAAACTGTGACACCAGAGTCCTCTTTAGCCTGAAGGGACAGGAAGGGATGTAGATCCTTGTGTTAGCCAGCTTTGATACAGCAGTTACTGACTCATTCATCCACATACCTGTGTTCCCCTCACTCCATGGTATGTGTTTTGTGGTCTTGAGCTTTTCTGTACCCATTTTGTATTCTGTTTTGTTCACATACCCCTCACCCTACAAATATTTATCTGTGTACTTTGTGTAAATGGGTATTTTGTCTGCATGTACATGTACACACCGGAAGAGAGCATTGGATTCCATGGGACTACAGTTATAGACCGTTGTGAGCCGCCATGCGGGTGCTAGGAATTGAACTCAGGACCTCTGGAAGAGCAGCCAGTGCTCTTAACTACCGGGCCATCCTTCCAGACCCTGCAGCCATATTCTTACGTGGTGCCCACGAGGGAACTCTGATCACATACTGCTCTGTGTCCCCTCTCTTTTCCGAGTTCACACACTTGCATGTACACACTCATAGCCCGAACTGACAGCCAGGGCTGAATGTCACCCACAGTGTTGAAGCTGTTGAAGATGGCCACAGGAATGCGGGCTCTGCTGGACACCGTGGTACAGGCTCTGCCCCAGGTAAGAGCCACACCCTCCTGGAACCCTGCCTTAAAATCTAGGGTTCATTGTGTGGGCCTGGGCCTGGAGGGATGCAGGCTTCGATTTCCCTCCTCCCCAGGCCTGCCAAGACCCAGGGCAGAGCCCCTCCCCTGCTTTTATTTGGGAACTCACAACATGGTCACCAGCATCCACTCTATGTCCAGCCCTATGAGGATTCTGAGGACCCATACAGTGCTTTTGGGAGCCCCTAGGTTGGTGGGGGAGCTAGACACCTCAGAGTCCTATGGGAAGAGGACTGTGTTCTGCTCCCAGAAGGGAGGAGGCACATGTTACTCCCTAGGAAACCAGAGAAGCTGACTCTTGAGCTGAACCTTGAAGAGTGGCTTTATGGGAAGATGTCACGCAATGGATGATGAGGTCCCCATGCAGCCTTCCAGGAGGGGAAGTACAAGCCCCAGGCTGAGTGAGGGGACACTAATTAGGGAGGACCATGGCCCTGGTCAGAGGAAGGTGAGCTGGGATCTGACTCACCAGGGGGCATTTGCCATCTTCCTGATACTTGGGCAGTGTTAGCCCCTCCTGCCTCTCCCCTCCCCACCCCCAGCCATGTTGAGTGCCTGTGCTGAGCTGACCCTTGCACACATTCACTCACCCATTATTATTCACATTGGAAACTTCATGTCTTCTAAAAGTCAAAGGCATAGATAGATCACACACAAAATGGAGGCAAAGTAGATTCTCTCGGGGACCTCCACTGAGGACACCAGTTAAGTTCTGTTCTGGAGTTTGGTGTGAGCTTCCCAGGGTTGCAAGGTAAGCCCACCAGAGACTACCACACAGACACTCTTTTTTTTTTTTTTTTTTTTTTTTTTTGGTTTTTCGAGACAGGGTTTCTCTGTGTAGCTTTGCGCCTTTCCTGGGACTCATTTGGTAGCCCAGGCTGGCCTCGAACTCACAGAGATCCGCCTGGCTCTGCCTCCCGAGTGCTGGGATTAAAGGCGTGAGCCACCACCGCCCGGCACACACAGGCACTCTTAAATCATGGGGAACTCGCCCAAATCAGCAACCCTGAGCGCTTGGATTTTTGTTTTTATTTTTTTCGAGACAGGGTTTCTCTGTGTAGCCCTGGCTGTCCTGGAACTCACTCTGTAGACCAAGCTGGCTTCAAACTCACAGAAATCTGCCTGCCTCTGCCTCCCAAGTGCTGGGATTAAAAGTGTGTGCCACCATCGCCCGGCAGCTCTTGGATTTTTATGCACAAAAAGCACGTCCTGGTTGACACACTTCAGTTAGTAAGAAGTGGAACTCAAAAGCAAAAAAAAAAAAAAAAAAAAAAAGGCAAGAAAGAAAAAAAGCAAGATTTGTATATTTAGGGACTTCCCTGGAACTATGGATTGGGTCTTTGATGGATTTTAAGACTTTGTTCCCAGGTTGGCAGGTGTTGAGGCCTATGTGCTGGGTTTTAAGGTCACAATGGTGCCTCTAACACAGACTCAATGTGCTAAGGTCTGGGGCCTGTTACATTCCCTACTGGTTGTATGGGCCTGAGTCAAACTGTGGCGTCATCTTAGGGCAGGGAGTTACACTGTCCCCTCAGCACTAAGAATTTAACAGAACTTATTCTCTGCTTTACGGAGTTAAGTAGGCAGTTGAGCAAGCAGGGTCCTATAGTGAGGGCTAAGAGCAAAAGGATCACTGGCCCGGCAATGGCCCTAAGTGGAGTAGTTAACCAGGGGGACCAGGAGAACAAGGTTGATACCTGTCATCAGATTCTCGATGTCTCTTTTCTCTTTCTTCAACGTTATTTCTGACCATGGCTAAATTTTCTCTGATTACCCTGACTGGTTGTTGGAGAAGAAGCAACAGGTTTCTCCCAGTGCCAACCAGGGACCTCCTTGTTTCATGAAATACAACCTCTGCTAAGGAACCTACCTGAGTTTCCAGATGGGATACAGAATTTTCCAGGTGGCCTAGGTCTGTGTTTACTTGAGCACTGAGTTCCTTAAAATTTTTATTCCCCACAACTGGGGCTGAAGTTCCAACTCTAGTGGAGCCATGATTTCGTTTCCCCACCAACAGGGGGATGGAAATGGGGTTGACTCGGCACACACACAGGCCAGCCCACCATCGAGCTTTCGATCGGCCTTGCCCAGTTCTTCCTTACAGAAGAGTACCTGAGGAACTCATGAGGGCTCAAAGGAGTGAGGTCTCCTCCAGTGCAGAAGATTCAAAAGATGCCCACATGGTGAAGGTGTTATTGCAAGCAGGCCAAATGGTGGCTGGGGCCTGGAAATACACTGATCTTCTCTTCTTGGAGTTAACCTACCATGCGTGGCCACAGGAATCTGCACAGGGAGGACTTTCTAGAGGGCATCTTAGTGCCATTAAGCAGTCTTTTCTTGGAGGTCTCCCAGGGTGAGCTTAGGTTGGTCCCATTTACAGTTTTCAGGATTGGAAGTGGAGCGTACTGTTTGACTAGTTCCTATCCCAACATAATACGGGGGTTTGGGATCCAGGGATAGCCAGCAGGCTTTACCTGTCTGGTTGAGAATGGTTCAGGAACCTATTGACTCCTTCTAGCATCCCAAACACTGAAGGGCTGGCTTCTGTTGGACCTTTACTCTCCATGGTTACCAAAGGAATTCCTGCGGATATTGGAGTTTTGGGGCTTGCCACTTTAGGGGGCTCGTATTCCAGGGTTATCAAGATGGGCCAGTTTAGCGCAGATGGGCCAGATAACCCTACGTGGAGGTTTCCTTTGGATAGTAAATTTGCAGCCTGGGTCTTGACCACTCACACATAACCTGGCTCCCTGGGTTCTGCCAGTATCCCAGTAATGACCTTCAGTTTCCTGCCAGGCCCTAACCTTTGCATTGCATAGGTTGGATACGGGATTGCATTGCCCAAGACTAGTGAAATTATAGACAGATTGTGATGGTTTTCTCTCTAGGACTATGAAAGTGTCAGTGTGCCCTTAGGAGGACTTGCGTTCGAAACCCCACTGTGCACAATGGTGTTCACCTGGCTCTTGTTAGTTTGGGGGGCCATCAGTAGAGCAGGCTTAGTATTGGGCAGATTGGAGCCCCATCTACTCAAAAGTGGACCTATATCCCCAGGAGCTTTTGTGGCCTCCTTTGTGGCCTCTTCTCCCAGTTGCCTCTGGATGTCATATTTTACAGAAACCTACCTGGAAGTGGGTTAGTCTCAGTGGACATATCGACTGGGTATCAGCTCCCCAGTTCCATTCTTTCTTAGTCCCCCACACCGAAGGTCCTGGCTCATGGGGATTTTGAGCGTTTCCCACAGGGAGACAAAGAAGACAAAATAGGACAATCATAGTCATAGGGCCTGTGTCAGTCTTACCTTTAATGGGTTTGGAGGACCTGGTGACAAGCCCTCTGTCTTTGTCCTCTGCGGCCTCCTCAGCTGGGAGTGTGGTGGAGTCATGGATGACACCGACAATCTTTACTCCTGTAGAGGTGGTGAGGACCACAGGGTATGGGCCTTTCCATGTTGGCTCCAGGCTTTGGGTCAGGATCCTCTTTATCCACACAAGATCAACAGGCTGTAACTTGTGGGCAGACTCAGATATGGACAAGGCCATGGTCTCTTGAACTGTCTGATGAATAGTCCTCTGAGATTGTTACAAGGTCTATAAGGAGGAGGCAGTGGCTAGCAATTTCTTCCTGATGAACATCTCTTAGCTTAGGGAAGAGACAGGGAGGGTTCTTAAACGTAATTTCCAATGGAGTAAAATAGTCTCAATATGGGGTGCACCTGGCCTTTAGAAGGGCAAGTGATGGGAGGTTGGCCCATTATTTGGTGGTCTCAAGGACATATCTAGTTCAAGTTTCCTTCATGGTCTTATTCATCCTTTCTATCTGACCTGAGTTTTGTGGCCCAGAGGCACAATGTAGTTCCCACAACATTTAGGACCTTTGCTAGATTTTTAGAAACTTTGGTTGTGAAGGCTGGTCCATTGTCGGACCCTTGGGAGAGGGGCAATCCAAACCTAGGAATCAACCCTTGGAGGAGTTTCTTGGTGACTACCGAGGCTGTCTCCATTCAGGTAGGATAGGTTTCCACTCATCTAGAGAAGGTGTCTATGAAAACTAACAAATATTTATACCCATGAACTGTGGATTTTATAAAATTTACTTTCCATTGCTCCCTGTTTTCTCGGGCATGGACTCCTCATGGGGCTTTTCTTCCTCCTTTGGAATTCACTTGTGCATAAGTAGCACTTCTGGAAAGAGTCTTTGTCTAATGGAAGGATGTACTATCTGGGTCTGAGTAACTCAGCAGTTTTGGATGCCCCCAGGTGGCTGGCCTGGTGGAGTTTGGTGACCATTTGTCTCCCGACAGTGGCAGGGAGCACAGGCCTCCTGCCTGGCAAGAACCACCATCCACTCGTCTCCTGTTTGACATTTTTCATCTTTGATCACTTAGTTTCTTCCTGTGCACAGTTTGGACACTGGAGAAATTTGGGATTGGTCAGGGTAACCAAGATCTGGAGAGGCCTCACTGGTTCTATGGCCACTTTCCATGGATCAGGTCTGCTGCCCTGCTTCCTTGGGCCTTTAGGGAATCCCCTTTTTGATGCCCTTCACAGTGGACAATGGCTATTTTCTTTTCTTTCTTTCTTTTTTTTTTTAGCAGCCATATGGCTTCTAGTAGGGCCAAGATTTTTTGTTTTTTTTTTATTTCCTTTCCCACCAAGGTGAAGAGTCCTCTTTCTTGATAGAGGGTCCCATGGACATGGACTGTAGAAAATGATAGTTTTGTCCTTCCCCCAGCAAAGTGCCTGGGCTTTTGTGCTGAGGTCCCTCAACTGAGGGACTGGTCCCACACCGTCTCGTCTAAGCTGACAACTGCAGCCCAGCATACCTGGTTCTGTCTTGAACAAAACTGCTCCCATCAGTTTACATTACCTCTCCTGCTTCTCACAGTAGGACATCTGTTAGGTCAGGTGTGACAGATTGGACCTCATCAGTCACTTCCAGGCAATCATGGAGGGGCTCTGTTGGGTTATCATCTGGCAACAGGCTGGCAGGGCTGATGGCCGAGGTTTTACAGAATCAGATGTGGGGCTGGTCCAGAACCACCTGGCAATGCATTTCTGGGGCATTGGACATCCACCCTTTTGGGGTTCCCCTTTGGGAAGGCCTCTACAGAGTGCAGGGTGGTTAGGAACAGTTCCTGGCCCAAGTTCAACTTGTCAGCTTTTCACTAGCATGGCTGTAGAGACAACTACCCACAAACTGGCCAACAGGCAGATATTGCCAACAGGCAATAGGTGGGCTGCTGGCTTCTTCCAGGGTCCCAGTGCCTGGGTAGTACCCAGGACCTGGGCTTCAGTCACATGTAAGTAGAAGGACTTAGAGATGTCCAGGAGGGCTAGGCTTGGTACAGAAATGAGAGCCTTTTTCAAGGCCTCAGAAGCTCCTTGTTCAGAGTCAGTCCATTGCAGTGGCTGGGTGCCGCCCCAATGGTACTAGCATACAATGGTTTAGCTAGCTTCAAGACCTCAGGTATCCGCAAGCGGCAATACCTGACCTTCCCAGAAATCTCTGCACTTGCTTCTCTGTTTGAGGTGTGGGGATCAATAGGATTGCCAAGATTTGGCTCTGGGTAAGTGTTCATTTGCCTCCTTCCGACTTGTACCCCAAGTAGGTGACATGGGGTGCACATAGTTGGGTTTTCTTGGCTGAGACCCAGTATCCTGGGCCCTTTACCATCTCTCTCAGGCCCTGACTGGCCTTCTTACATTCCTCCTCTGTTTCTGAGGCTCTGAGGAGGTCATGCACATACTGTAACGGGGTGCCCTTTGGATGCCTCTGCCGAAAAGTCAGGTCTTCACTCAAGGCCTCATTGAAGAGTGTGGGGGAACTTTTGAACCCTTGTGACAACCTAGTCCAGGTCAGCTGGCCTGTGAACCCTCTCTCAGGACCAGTTCGTTCAGAGGCAACATTGGGATGGCTTATAGGTGCCAATATGAGGCAAAGAAGGCATCTTTGAAGTCCAGAACTATATGGACTTGTTTTCCTGGTGGTGGGGACTCAGGAGGGTGTAGGGGTCAGGAGCCATGGGAGGTGTCCACCCTTTTGTTGTCTTCTCTGGGATCCTTCACAGTTCTGTAGTCCTTGGTACCTGGTTTTGGATCAGGAGCAGGGAGTGTTCCAAGGGGAACGGCAGGGGATGAGGATCCCTGCTTTCTGTAGACTGTTATTGGGTTTAGCAACCCCCTGTTTGGTTTCCTGGCTCACAGAGTACTGTTTGATCCATACTGGGTACAGTACTTAGTAGTTGGATGACAGTTGGTGCCCAGTGGATGGCCAGTCCTGGTGCGTTATCCTCAGCTCATACACCAGGGCACTGCTGTTGCAAATTCTGCAAGTATCCTTAGTTTGAGTATCATTTTTTTGGTACCAGATTTGATTGGAGGAGGTATTCCTCTAACAGGAGGCTTGTCACAAGAATATAGGTTGGGGGATGAGTAGGATTCTAAATAGGGTGGGTAGTGGCCTCCCCAAAGGATGTGGAGGCTGTAGTTTTTGTAATAAGTCTCTCCCAGTTAGGGGATGGGACAATCTGGCATGACCAAGAAGGTCATAGTACCTTCTCCCAAGCCCACCATCCAAGAAGTTGTCCAGGAATAGTCTGTCCATTTCCAAAGGGAAAGCAACATGGCTCACCTTCAGTCTGGCAAGGTCATTTGCTGGGAGAGGGGGTGTTCTGGGATGTACCTGAGTGCAAACAGGAAGTGAACTGAAGCCTGAACTTGAACATCTTGCCTGGGACCCATGGGTGGGCTCTGAGCATGTGACCTAATGGCTCCTGCTTTGCTTCCTCGTCTGTGAGTGATGAGGTAACAGTCTTTCAAAGTTGGAGGCGTCAGACAGGTAAAGCTCATCAAGTTCTTAGCAGGGCTTGGCTCATGGGAAGCTCCCTAGCAGAGTCTGATGCATGTGGGAGTGAGGATATGGTGGTGACAGGCACGTGTCCAGCCTCCCTGACCCCTGAGCATCCTGTCAGGGCTCTGGAGGCCAGTACTAAGTTGACACAGGGTACGCGGAGATATTGGGGAAATCCCTGGCGTAAGTAGGAGACACATGATGGTAAGATCAGGACCTGTCCCTGGCGTTTAGCTGGCTTTTGGGAACCTGTTCCCCATGCTGGATTGCCTTGTCCAGCCTTGATACAGGGGGAGGAGCTCGGTTCTGCCTCAACTGCATGTGCCATGCTTGTTCAAGCCCTTGAGAGGCCTGCCCCTTTCTGAATAGAGACCGCGGAGGAGTGGATGGGGAGGAGGGTAGATGGGAAATGGGAGGATGAGAGGAGGAGGGGAAACTGTAGTTGGTATGTGAAATAAATGGGGGAAAATGTTAATTTAAATAAAATAAAATTTAAAAAAAAGCCAGGCGGTGGTGGCGCACGCCTTTAATCCCAGCACTTGGGAGGCAGAGCCAGGCGGATCTCTGTGAGTTCGAGGCCAGCCTGGGCTACCAAGTGAGTTCCAGGAAAAGGTGCAAAGCTACACAGAGAAACCCTGTCTCGAAAAACCAAAATAAATAAATAAAATAAATAAATAAATAAATAAATAAATTAATTAATTAATTAAAAAAAATTTAAAAAAAGAAAAAAATCCAATGACATAAGCATGTGCCAAGTGACTGGTGGCTGCAGGGGAGGGGCTTGTCCCTCAAAAAACCTGCCAGTCTAAGTTCATGTTGTTAAATGGTGTATTCCCTGCTTTTCTCGCTATAAAATACCCAGCGAAAGTGGCTTACAGAGGGAAGGGTGTATTTTAGCTCACAGTTCAAGGATGCAGTCCATCACGGCAGGGAAGGCATGGCGGCAGGAGCTCGAGGCAGCGACTCACATTGCATCTGCACCCAGGAAGCAGGGAGACAATGGTGTTCAGCTCACTTTCTCCGTTTTCGTCAATCCAGAACCTCAGCTGCTCGCATTCAGGGGGTGTCTTCCCACCTCAGCCCGGTCTAGAAACTCCCTCAGAGACCTGCCCAGAGGCTTGTGTCCTAGATGGATCTAGGTTCTGTCAAGTGGACAGTCAATATAAGCCACCACAGATGGATACTGTAGAGTGCTGTGAACATGGGACTTCAGCCCCTTCCCACCGACTTTGCCCAATACAGAGGGAGGAGACATCAGGGAAGGCTCCTCAGGGGAGGTGACCTAAACTGGCCTTTGAGACTAACCATACATCTCCCCTGCAGAGGGGCAGGCTATGCAGAGACGCGGCAGCCCATTTCCACATGGTTGGAATCAGGAGTTGAAAGATCAGACTGGAAGGGGGGCTAGAGGGGGTGTCACAGCAGGCTTTCATCTCTGGGACAAAACAGATGTGGGCTTTGTGCTGTGGACTCCGTAGGCCATAGGAGTATTTGGACAACAGGGCTTCAAGCAGAGCTGCCTCTGTGGGGAGACTGGAGGAAAGGCTGGAGGCAAGGAGACAGATGAGGAGGCTGCTGGGGCTCTCAGGCCCCAACGGGCTGAGGGCGAAGGTCGGAGACTGATGGGAAAGACTGGATCCTGGTTAGGAACACTACCAGCCAGGTCTGAGTAGGGCGGGAAGCTGAGCTCTGTGGGCCATGGTGAGGCTGGGTCTTCCTCGACTGTCAGGCTAAGTGCTTGTGTCCTTAATGAGTAGGATGTCATTAATTAGCCTGCACTGCAATGTGGAGCAGCTGGGAAGGAAGCCCTCCTCTAGAGCAGTCTGTGATCCACGGGGATTTACTTTATAGTGATTACCTCAACCGCCTCCTGACTCAATTCACAGGAACCTTTGAAGGGTCAAGAGGGATTTTCTTTGTAGGGCAGGAACGCCCTCTAGCCTCATCCATAGCGTGAGGTAAAGGCAATCTCCCACTGATGCCTAGATTTGAACCAGGCTTAGAATCTGGGGCATTCTGTCCTGTAGGAGCCATGGGACGGGGGTGGCTGCATTTGCAGGAGGCTCCCGGGACCATGGGCGTGTGTGATTCCTTCACTAATTCCTTTCTGTGACCAGCCTTGTGCTGGCCTGTGGAGGCAGATCTGACTTCATCCAGTGGTGTCCCAGGCCAGCAAAGGACAGTTTGCTGGGCTTGAATCTCTGATCCATCACTTGCGATCCATGTAATTAAACAGGAACTTCAGTTCTCAGTCTGTCTCATTCTCACCTGAGAAATGGGGCAAAAGACGGCACATAGATTCATTGGAGGGTGGGTGGATGGTGTATGTGTGAGTGCATACACATGTGTGTGAGGGTGTGGCATCTAGTGTATATTATTATATTATTTCCCCCCTTCTCTCTCTCTTTCGGTAGGGTATCTTCCTGAGCCTGGAGCTCACGAACTCCAGAGACCTGCCAGTCTCTGTCCACATTAGCAGGGCAGATGCACAGCACTGTGTGCAGCTTTTCCACGGCTGCTGATCTGAAGCCAGGTCCCCACGCTTGTGCCACAGGCACTTTGCATCTCCCCTACTCCCTCACAGGGACAAGTGATATGCTCATGGCATAGACTTCAAGCATTCAGTTCTTATTCGGTAATCCATGATTCACTAGTCTCGCCCTTCCGGAGGTTACAAGGGGGGCAGCAGACATGGATACTCAGTCTGGTGTAATGTTATAGCTGCCCCGAGTCTGGCTCTGGCTCTGCCTCTGTCCCCCCCGGCCTGAGGTCCTTCACCTCTACCCTCCTGCTCCAGGGATCTGCTTCCCTGCCCCTCTCCAGGCCTGGGACTCCTCCTCCCCACTCTGCGCTCCCCCCCAGGACTCCCCCTTCTCCTCGTGAGTACCCCTAGGCCTCTGGCCCCCAGCCCCGCCCATCTCTCTCCACAGGTGGGCAACCTGGGTCTCCTCTTCATGCTGCTCTTCTTCATCTACGCTGCTCTGGGAGTGGAGCTCTTTGGAAAGCTGGGTGAGCAATGTCTAGGCTGGGCTCCTCAGCTTGCCACCCAAGGTCATTGTATGGGGAGATGCCTCAGTAGCAGGACTCCTCATCCAAACCCAATCTTAGCATGAGGTATTTTCTGAGGCCTGGCTCATGAATGTACATCAGATCTGTGTGGTGGAGTCCCGGACTCAAGCTGTCTAGTCTTCCGTGGGAGCCTCCTTCTTCTGCTTCCAGCCAATGCCTGTCCCGAGCCAGGGCCACCCCAATAACAGAGCCCAGCCCCGCACATAAGGTCAGTTCCAGAAATCAGGGGCTCCCAGAGGGGCTGGCCCTTACTCTACCACCTCTCTCAGGAGCTGATTATTGGATAGAAAAGCCGGATGCTCCTAAGACTGAGCCCTCAGCCAGGGCACCACTTCTTTAAGCCTCAGGTCCATCAGTGGGTTTGGCACAGTCTATACACTAATGAGGGTTGTAGGGGTATTCTGAGAGGATGCTGAGGGGTGGCAGTTTGGGGTGCTGTTGGCCGACAGGCTGACCACCTCTCCCCTCTCAGTCTGCAATGATGAGAACCCGTGTGAGGGCATGAGCCGGCATGCTACCTTCGAGAACTTCGGCATGGCCTTCCTCACGCTCTTCCAGGTCTCCACAGGCGATAACTGGAATGGAATCATGAAGGTATTCATGGGCCGGCTGAGGGGAAATCAGGCAGTTTCACGTCATGGGTGCATGGTGGTACTGCTGCTGATCCAGACACAGGACTCTTGCATGCCCAGTACCCCATTGTACACAGGAGGAGAGTCAGAGACCTCCTTGACTCCAGTGAAATGGAACTGTAGTCAGTTCAGGCGGGACCAACTTGTTGGGCTGGCCTGAAGGGCAGCAGTGAGTGCCCAGGGAACCCCATGCATCTTCTCAGATTTGCCTGTGGCTCTGAGAGGTGGGGTCAGCCACAGTGGGGAGTGAAGAGGGCTGGAGCACACTGGATTAGGGCCCTAGGGATTTGGCTGAAACTGAGGCAAGCTCAGGCAGCCATAAGCTAGATGGGCATGAAGGCAATAAAGGCAGCTAGGACTCCAGAGGGGGATTGAACCTAGGCCACATGGCATGTGCACGTGGGTTCATGTGTGTGTGTGTGTGTGTGTGTGTGTGTGTGTGTGTGTGTGTGTGTGTGTGCCTGACCTCTGGTAGCCTTGTGGGTCCTCTGTGCTATGGAGGTGAGGTATGTGGCTGGGCGGCTGTGGCGGGTGGCGGGTGGCCTTGACCCCACCAGCCTGTCCCTGTGGTAGGACACGCTGCGAGACTGCACCCACGACGAGCGCAGCTGCCTAAGCAGCCTTCAGTTCGTGTCGCCCCTGTACTTCGTGAGCTTCGTGCTCACGGCTCAGTTCGTGCTCATCAACGTGGTGGTGGCCGTGCTCATGAAACATCTGGATGACAGTAACAAGGAGGCCCAGGAGGACGCGGAGATGGATGCCGAGATCGAGCTGGAGATGGCCCATGGCCTGGGCCCCGGGCCTGGCCCCGGCCCCGGCCCCTGCCCCTGCCCCTGTCCTGGCCCGAGGCTGCCCACTAGTTCACCAGGAGCCCCCAGCCGTGGATCAGGAGGGGCAGGTGCTGGGGGGTGACAATGACAGCCACCTGTGCCGGCACTGCTGCTCTCCAGCCCAGGTGGGCAGGGACTGAGAGGTGGATGGGGCACAAAGGGCAGGAGCCACGGGGCCAGCCGGGCAGCTGGGCAGCTGGGCTGGGAGGCGCCTTATCTTTTGGGGTCCCTCCGTGTTCAGCTCTGAGATAGGGTGATTCTGTGATGAGAGGCTCCGTCCTAGGCTGTGGGCCCAGAGAATGGGAGGGCAGCTCTGCCCCACCCACCCCAAAGTCCAGGGACCCAGCCGATAATCCCACCTGTCCCCACCCTGCCCCGTCCGCCTAGGAGACCCTGTGGCTGGACAGCGTCTCTTTAATCATCAAGGACTCCTTGGAGGGGGAGCTGACCATCATTGACAACCTGTCCGGCTCCATCTTCCACCACTACTCTTCACCTGCTGGCTGTGACAAGTGTCACCATGACAAGCAAGAGGTACTGGCCTTCTGAGAGGCGCTGGCTCCCTGGGAGTCACCTGGGAGTGACTGGGGTGTTGGGGGCAGTCGTGGCTCTAGGCCCCTAGGAGCATACCGATCCCACTGGTCCTAGTAGTCTGCCTGTGAAGCGCAGCCTAGAGAGCCGCATCCTCAGCACCTTGGGCGTAAAAAGGGGAACAGAAGAAGTAGCTGTTCTTCCTTGTGCTTCTGGGGCAGCCAAGAGCCTTGAGTCCCTTCCAGGGCATTTTGCACTTTGTGAACCAAGAAGGGGTCACTGGTGCCTGTTCTTCGCCAGTGGCCATGGTCCCGCTGAGTGTCTCAAAACTTCTCTCGGGAGCCTTGTTCTGGCTTCCTCTCAGAGGCAGCTCAGCCCTACCCTGCTCAGGGGCCATCTCCCAGGCTGTTTCCAAGAGCTCTTCTCCTCCTATGGCCCTACACATGCACTCCTGGGCTCGGCCCCATGGCCTTCTAAGGACAGTGGCTGTGAGGTTATTCCCAGGAGCCTTGGGCAGGGGCTGAACATGTGGGTTGCCCAATTCTCCTGTCCCATGGCTGAGACAGATGCCTCAGGATAGCAGGTCTTGCAGGGGCATGTAATGCAAGTAGCCCTCACAGAGGAGCCACACCCAGCCATGCTCTATGGACACTTGGTCTGGGACAAATGGACAACAGAGCTCCATAGCTCACTGTACCATGGCTACTTGTGTGTTCAGATACCAAGGTGGGCCACTCAGACCTGGTTTTCGTGGGGGGTGGCCCCTGTGCCATCATGTGTCACCCAGGCTGGGATCCTACACAGAGTGGGCCCACCACCCATGCCCAGCAGGCCTGTGAACCACTCTGACCACTGCCCCATGTCCTTTCAGGGACCTGTTGCTCAGCGCTCCAGGCCCAGGCTGCCCCATCCCAGCCCCAGGGTGACCCGAGGCCACCACCTCCCCCTGCAGGTGCAGCTGGCTGAGACAGAGGCCTTCTCCCTGAACTCAGACAGGTCCTCGTCCATCCTGCTGGGGGATGACCTGAGTCTTGAGGACCCCACAGCCTGCCCACAGGGCCCCAAGGAGAGTAAGGTAAGTAGCTAGGAGTCTCCTTACATTGTTCTCCATGTGCGATGCCGGGGTACACATTTATCTGGCCAGGTCAGGCTCAGGCGAGGTACAGTCTAGTTAACTGAGGCCACATCTTGCGTCAGACACAGATAGCAAGTCACAGGTTGGGATAGTGTGAGCCCCTCCACCTCAGAGTGGACATCGGGTAGCTCTCAAGGAAGTTGTAGAGCTGAGAAAGTCTGGAAAGAGATGCCATAGCCCTCTGCTCCATGTGCAAGACCCCAGGCCGTGGCCAGAGAGGAAGAACTCCTCTCCCTAAGTATGAATGGGGAAACTGAGTCCCGGCAAAGGGAGGGGCTGTGCTGCTCTGAGGCCTTCACCCAAGTGACTGCTACATTGAATTAGCCTTTGATTATAGATATGAAGAAGACGGGGTGCTGTCTCAAGGCAGTTAGAGTCAGGAAGGAAGGGGCAGGGGAGCCATGGCTGCCTGGGGGCGTCCAAGAGGGCTTCCTAGAGGTCAGGACCTTCCACTTGAGGACTGGAAAGTGGTGACTTCTGGTTGGGTAGTGAGAGGAAGGGCTTCCTAGGGATGGGGTCAGCTATGCAGGGGCCCCCTGCCTCTCCCTCAACTTCCTGACCATCTCACCCCCTTGCCTGCAGAGTGAGCTGGAGCCTCCGGAACCCTTGCAGGCAGGAGACCTGGACGAATGCTTTTTCTCCTTTGCCAATGCGCCGGTGTCTGCAGGCCCAGAGAACCTGCTGTGTGAGATGGAGGCCATCCCGTTCAATCCCGTCCAGTCCTGGCTCAAACACGAGAGCAGCCAAGGTGAGGGCGGCAGCCTTACCAGTCCCCCCCCCGCCCCCCCCCCCCCCCCCCCGCACCCTGGTCCTAAGCATCTGTTTGTTTTTCCCCTCCAAGAACCAAGTGGGGTTCTGACAATTAGAGAGGCCTGATACGGTTAAGTGATAAAAGGAGCTAAGGACAGCTGAAGCCTGGTCTAAAGGAAGCGTCACACTGAGCTTCCTGTGTTCTGTGATGAAAGGGGAACTAGGTTGCCACACACCGCTCTTATTATCAAGCAGAAGGAAGGCTTACAGATGATTGCCTTTGGGTAGACAATCATCTGAAAGGCGTTTGCCCCCCCAGATATACACACAAGGTCACTAGAAGACTGGTGTTTTCAATGGCCATTTGATAAAAGGATCGCTACCCCAAACCTCCTTGAAGACCTGGTTTGTGTTTAGGGATATAACAAGGGACTGAGCTTGCTTGTCTGTCTCCCTCTTGGAGGATGACAACAGCCTGGGTGTCAACACTGGCTGGTGGAAGGAAGGAAGACAGTCTAACACAAGAGTGACCCTAAGACCACAAACTCATCCCAAGATGTCTTCCGGGATATCTGGATGACTGGCTTTTCCATGGACCCTCTGTAAAGCCAGTGGCCTATACTGGACATATGGCTGGGGTGCCAGGACCCCGAATTTCCTGATCTCAAAACCTGAGCCAGGGTCTGACCCCAGGCATGTTCTGATGAAGTGTTCATTTAACTGTTTATTTTCACATCCCTTCAGTAACTCGGCAGTTTACCAGGATGCAGCCTACACAGCCGCCTGGTGTCTATTCATGTATTCTGAACCCTGTGCTCCTTCTTCATTCTATGAGATGCAGAGGGGGCCACAGGCAGAGCAGCTGCTGCTGGTCCTGGCATACAAAAGTCTGCCCTGCCTCAGGCTCCCCCAGCCTGGCCTTGTCCTTTTCTATCCGCAATGGGCAGACCAGGTCCACCCAGCAGCTTCTATACCATCAGCGCAGGGCCTGGTAGATACCTGCATTGTCCAGGAGGGGCCCTCAGGCCTGGCGAGGCCATGTGGAGTTGTCAGGGCCCGAGGGGTGCTGAGTCTTAGTGATTGAGTAACTACTATGTGCACGGTGTTGAGCTAGGTGCTCCATACCTGCTGTTATCCCCACAGCCCTCCTCTTGTGTTAGTTACTGTTCTCACTGCTGTGACCAAGGGCCTGGTGAAATCAACTTAAGGAAGTGTTTATTTTGGCTGGTAGTTCAAGGTTATTGTCCATCATGGCGGGGAAGGCGTGGCGGCAGGAGCTTGAGGCAGCGGGTCACATGGCATCCACGGACTGGAAGCAGAGAGAGATGCATGCTGGTGTTCAGCTCGTTTTCTCCTCCGTGTTCAGTCCAGGACCCAGCCCATGGGATGGGACCGCCCACAGTTAGGGTGGGTCTTCTCCACCCCAACCCAATCTAGAAACTTCCTCATAGACATGCTCAGAGCACCTCTCCTTGCTGACTCTAGAGCTTGTCAAGTTGACAGTGTCGACAATGCCGCCTCTACTGGATGGGTATCTATCCCCATTTCCAGAGGGACCAAGGCCCAGGAGTCAGGCCTGGAGTCCGGTCTGCTGGGCTCTGGAAGCAGCCTTCTGCTCGGAGCCAGGCCTTCCAGGAACTGCACCAGAAGCATTTCTTGCTCTCACAGCAAAGAAACCGAGGCTCTAAGTTGGAGACCTGCCCAGAGTCTCACAGCCAGTGTTAAGTAACCCAAGTGAGGGCTGCTGCTCTGTACCCACCTCCTGGGCTGTTCCCAGCACCTCCTCTTCCTCCCCTGCAGCACCGCCGAGCCCTTTCTCCCCAGATGCCTCCAGCCCTCTCCTGCAGATGCCTGCTGAGTTCTTCCACCCTGCTGTGTCTGCCAGCCAGAAGGGACAGGAACCGGGCATGAGTGCGGGGACCCTGCCCAAGATCGCCCTTCAGGGCTCCTGGGCATCCCTGAGGTCACCAAGTGTCAACTGCACCCTCTTGCGTCAGGTACAGGCACATCCAGGACTCTGAAGTGTGTCCTGGAGCCACGGATGGCAGGTGGGGAGGGGAAGGGAAGGCACTGAACACAGACAGCCACGGCAGTTGAGACTTGAGAGGTGGCACCAAAGATGAACACTTGCAAGACCAGCCCCTGAGGAGCACCCAGCTGGTCAGTCAGCTGACACAGGGCCCTAGTTTGAGATGAGGGAGAGGGTAGCACTGGGGAGGCCTTGTGGGGTGACACAGTGCTGGGGTCAGGGACCATGCCTCGAGTGTTCTTGGTGGGTGGTAGAGTGTCATTGCTAGACTGCTTGTAGACTACAGATTGCTTGGTTCCAGAGGGTCAGGTTGGGAAAGGGGGAGTCTTGGCTGTATGGTCTCCAGTATCAGGATGGCTGGAGCCACAGCCCCCATGCCAGCTGAGCACAGAGGGCCTCTGGAGCATGAAACAAAAGTCCGCCAGCACCTTTGTGGGGGCGGCATGTGTAATCCTATACGACAGGGGAGGCTTCCTAGTAATCACTTAGTCAGACATGGTTAATCTCCAGTTTCTCCAGGCTGAGCTCTGCAGCAGGTGGTGGACCCTGACTCCTTGTCTCCCATGGAGGGCAGTTCAGGTTTAAAGTGTGTGTGCGTGCGCGCGTGCGTGTGTGCGTGCGTGCGTGCGTGCGTGCGTGTGTGTGTGTATTGCAGAAGGAGAGATGGCAGAGCAAATGCATGCTGGGAGTATAATCTGTGGGGAGGTGAGACATGGCTGAGATAGCAAGGAAAGGCTTACCTAGAAGAGAGGATGGGAGCATGGGATGGGGCAGCTGGGATGGGGCAGCTGGGATGGGGCAGCTGGGATGGGGCAGGGCCATGGGGGATCAGGTAGAAGAACTTGTGAACAAGGGACAGGGTGGTAGAGAAGTAAGGCTGGAGATGTGGGTGGATGAGAGCCAGCTGGGAACTATGTTAGGGAAGGGCTTGACATTGACATCGGGACTAGGAAAGATGGCTCAGGCTGTCCAGAGAGGACCGGGACCCCGTGTGAGGCATCTACAGTAGGTGCCCTGAGAGATCCCAGGGATTGCCCATGTGGCAGAGGGGATGCTGTGGGATCCTGGATATGCTGAGAAGGGAAGTAACCTGGGCCCCATCATCAGACTGTCCACTAAGGACCAGGGAAAGGAGATGATACAGGGAGCCTCATCCCTTCTTACCTCCCTGCAGGCTACTGTGAGCGACACATCACTGGATGCCAGCCCTAGCAGCTCAGCGGGCAGCCTGCAGACCACATTGGAGGACAGTCTGACACTGAGCGACAGTCCCCGGCGTGCCCTGGGACCACCAGTCCAGTTGTCAGGGCCACGTGCCGGCCTGTCACCCGCCACCCGGCGCCGCCTCAGCCTGCGGGGCCGCGGCCTGTTTAGTCTGCGTGGACTGCGGGCCCATCAGCGCAGCCACAGCAGCGGCGGCTCCACCAGCCCGGGTTGCACCCACCACGACTCCATGGACCCCTCTGATGAGGAGGGCCGCGGGGGTGCAGGTGGCGGGGGTGCAGGCAGTGAGCACTCCGAGACCCTCAGCAGCTTGTCGCTCACGTCTCTCTTCTGCCCACCACCCACGCTGCCACCCCCGGGCCTCACCCCCTCCAGGAAGTTCAGCAGTACCAGCAGCCTGGCATCTGGACCTGGCCGTCCTGGAGCCACTGTCTCCGCCCGCGGCCTGGCCAGGAGCCCCTCCTGGGCTGCAGACCGCAGCAAGGACCCACCAGGCCAGGTCCAGCTGGCCTCAGGCTTGGGCTCCTCAGCACCTGAACCGCAGCCGCCTCCTGGGGAGCTGGAGTCAACTGATGCTGCCAGGAAGAGGAAGAGATGAGGGGCCCACAGGGGCTGCGGGGGGACCTGCCACCCGCTGTCCGCCCGCTTGCCCCGTCTTGCCTTCTTTTACCTCAGGAGCCAGGGAGCAGACAGCAATACTTTGCCCACACCTGGGAGTGACATAGGGGCCAGCCAGCACCAGGCCACTGGGCAGACGACTGAGGAGGGTCTGGGTTAGCTGAGGCTCAGATGCGGCCCCATCCGTGGCCCTTCCAGTGCATATGCAGATATATACATATATACATATATATAGAGAGAGACAGACATATATTTATTTATTTTTTTTACTGAGAGCTTATGAATTCCAGAAAGTGCTAAAGTTGAAGGTACAGGCCAGGGCCCAGACAGGGGTCTCGTCTGTTGGTTAGGATACAGGCTTGCACAGCGCAGACGCTCCCGTTGGGGCATCGGTGGCTGTAGTTTCGGGTATCTCCCACAGTTGAGAGCAGCTTGGGAGAAAGTTCAGGGCCCAGGAGACAGAAGAGAAGCAATTCAGGGTGCACTTTTTTTCCCTTTTAAAGAAGAGACGCTGCTAAGATCCCCAATCTCTACCCACATGTCGGGGGTATCAGTCTTGTCCCTCTGACTATCGTGTTGTGAAGTCTTTTGTAGACGCTCTGACACACAGACTTTCTTAGTTAACCAGCTAGATGTTCTCTTTAGAAAAACCAGGGGGGGTTGTTTAGTCATTTCTTAGAGCAGGGTTGGGGGATAGGACAGTTCTGAGGCTGGGCAGGGGGCTCAGTGTGCAGGTCAAGTTTTGACTTCTGTGAGCACTTTGGGGGACAGTTCAACTCCCCAGGAAGGCAGCAAACAGGAATAATTCTTGCAACCCACCCTGAGCAACCTTACCCCTGACCCAGGGGTATTTGGGGTAACAGCAAATCTAAAGGGGGCTCTGCGTACCTGCCTAAAGCCTGACTCCAGCCTTTCCCCATCCAGGACCCCCAGCCAGTTACCTGGACATTCACATCCTCCAACTCCTGCTTACTCCTGAGTATGTCTTGCTGTTTCAAGCTGCAAGTCGGGTCTCACGATGGTAGTGCTTCCCGGTCTCACAATGAGTTCAGGATGGGTGTTTTTTTTATTGGAATGGTTAACCATTTATTTAAAAAAAAAATACCTTGCATCGAGCCTGTGACTTTCACAGGCTCAGCTCTAAAGTGGATGGGTTTAAAATTAGCTTGAAGAAGAGTGGGGCGTGCTGCTGGTGGTGGCCTGCTGATAAGGGCAGTGATGTGGATGCTCACCCAGATCACCAAGCGTTGCCCTGGGTCCTGCTAAAAGCAGGTGTGTATCTTGTCCCTGCTCCCAAATCCTGATTTCACAGAAGTGGGCTTCTAGCCAGGCTAGTGTTGGTAGGCTCTGAGGTACTCCCTTCTGGCACAGGGACCCTGGGGTCAGGACACTGTGAGGGAGCGAGGAGGAAAGAAATGTTGAGGGGTGCTGCCTGCAAAGCCCTTCTTAGGGGTGAGGAGTGGGAAAGTGGTTGTTAAACCCGCTTTACACATGGTAAACTGAGGCTCTGAGTAAGTGAAACAGCCATGCAGCCCTGGCTGCAAAAGGCCTGGGTTACCTGTGAAGGGCACTAGCCTGAACATCTGGACTGTGCACACACAATCATGGTTGAAGGGAGGGTGACTCCAAGGGCCCAGGAAAGAGTTGGCTGTTGTGTAGAGAGGGTTGGCCTATGGCCCATGGTCTTCAGGCTTTATAGTTGTGTTATCTGATAGCATCTAGCACCCTCTGCTCTCTGGGTTCAGTGTTAGTCATCTAGCTAAATCTTCAGGGTGCCGTGTGTGTGTGTGTGTGTGTGTGTGTGTGTGTGTGTGTGTGTGTGTGTGTGTGTGTATGCTGCTCTTCACAGTCAGCTTTCTCTCTTTCATGGTTCTGAGGCTGGGCAGAGATGTTCAGGCATCTGTACCTTTACGGTGGGCTGTGTGACCCCAGAGCAAGCAGACATGTTGAAGGGTGTTTTAGGGAAATGAGCAAGGTTTAATAAGCAAGGGCTGTAGCTGGGTACAACCGGGCATCTAGAGAGAATGATTAGCTGAGCCCAGAAGCACACAAACGACCTGGGGTGGATTTCCCTAGGACCAATCCCAGGTATTTGGTCTTTTGCCTGTGAATGGGGAATTAGGGACCAGGAAAGTTGTGAGCGGCTGGTAAGATGAGTTGTAATGGGCAAGGATTGGTTGGGCGACCCTTCTTTAACACTGTGGCTTGGGGCTGTGGCCTCAGGTCAAGCCTGTCCATCACCAAAGCACAAACTCCCCCAATCCACATGGGCCTGGGTGTGAGGAGAACGGGAACCCAGGTACCAATGCCCTAAAGCTGTTAATTTACCAGGTGGTTTGGTGTGGAGCCTGGAGGGCATGGCAACATCTTTAGGGAAGGGTCTGAAGCCAGATAGAGTCTGCTCTGCCCTTCTTGTTGTCTCCTGCTCTGGTCCAGGCAGTCCCTCTGAGGAGGATGAACCGTGAGCAGAACTCACCCATCTGCTTGTCCCCAATATTTCTCCTAGAGTTCCGAGCTCCCCGGCTCACCTCCAGCCCCTTTTGCCAGTCTGTGTAAGGGCTTGGGGTCTTAGAAGCTGCTGTTTAACCCAGACACACACACACACACACACACACACACACACACACACACACACACACACACACACACACACACTTTTCTTTTTCTTTTCGTCATTGTGCAATAATCAGTGTCCCGGGCAGAGCTGGAGCCTGGGAGGAGGCAGAGGCCACCTTGTCCAGAAAGCCCCCAGCCCAGCTCTGCTGCTGTGACTCTAACTTCTGGTCACTGTACAGTTTCTACAGTGTGAATGAACTTCCCTCTTAGTTGCTGAAGGCGCTGGTCCCTGCTGGCCCAGATGGCCCGGGAATAGAGAAACCAAGCCCTACCGCCAGCCAGCGTTGTTTTGAATAAAACCCCAGAAACTTATTTAGGACTTTCTCCATGTCTCTGCTCTTCCTTCCCTGCAGGGTTGGGGTTATGCTGGTCCCCCTTTCCACCCCAAGGGAAGAATGATGATGTCTTCATGCTGCAGCTGTTGGAGTCTGGGGTTTTTGGGGATCCAGAGACCCTGTGGTAGGGTTCTCTTGTAATCAGGGTCTGGGTGGGACTTCAGGGCTGGGAATGAGGCAGAGAGAGGTCAAGCTGCTTCCCCTTGTCACCAGATCCTGAATTCATAGAAGTGGTATTATGAGGACTCATGACTGCAAAGCGCAAAAACCCAACTCAAATGGGCTTAAGAGCGAAAGAAGGGGGCTGGAGGGACGATGAGGTATTGGTCACTGTTCTGTTGCTGTGAAGAGACATCATGACCACAGCAACTCTTACAAAGAGAGGGTTTAATTGGGGCTTGCTTACGGTTTCAGAGGTCTAGTCCATGGTTATCAGGGCAGCATGCAGGCAGACATGGTGCTGGAGAAGGAACTGAGAGTTCTACATCTGGATATTCAGGCAGCAAGAAGAAAGAGTGACCATGGGCCTGGTTTGGGCTTTTGAAGCCTCAAAGCCCACCCCCAGGGACACACATCCTCCAATAAGACCACAGCTCCTAATCCTTCTCAAGTAGTGCCACTCCCTGATGATCAAGCATTCAAATATATGAGTCTATGGGGGCCATTCTTACTCAAACCACCACGCTGCTCTTGTAGAAGCCCATGGTTCCCTTCCCAGCACTCATGGCACGTGGCTCACAACTGCCTATAACTCCAATTCCAGGGGATCCTCCAGCACCCTCTTCTGGCCTGTGTGGGTTCCTGCATGCTTGTGGTGCATATAAACTCATTCAGACATACATATACACATAAAAAATCTTAAAAAAAGAGCACAAGAGAAGAGAAGAAAGAAGTGAGGGGGAACAGGACACAGATGGAAACAATTTAGTGGTTCAAGTTTTTAGAAATCCCACATGTAGTGTTGGCTTCAGATGTCGCTAGATCAAAGGCTCCAGTCAAGTCACTAGGACACAGTCTCTCTACCTCCTGACTTCGTTGTTTCTGTGTTTGTTTCTTTCTCTCTGAGGCCACCAGCTGTCCCAGGCTTGGGCTACCCCATTCCTCTAGCAACTCTCTCTGGGAAGCCCAGCCACACGCTAGGACAGGATCCTCATTCAACCTTCCTTGCAGTTGGCTAAGGAACACACCATGCCACAGAGACACTGTGCTGCCACTGGCCAGGTCTGACCATACACTCACTCTGGGATTCAGGGTAGAGGTGGCTGCTGAACCACAGCTATGAAATAAGATCTACATCATGCCCTCCTGATGAGCTTCTGGGAACAGTGGCTTCTAATCTTTACCTTCAACAGGAGGCCATGGAGCCCTCTGATGAACTGGTCAGATGTTGCCAGCTGGGAACACAGGAACAGCTAAGCTGGCAGACAGGGGACCAGGGTGGTCCCTATCCCAGCACATGTCCCTTCCTTAGGAGTTGATCAAGGCCTGGGGGGCACCATGACGGCAGGGGTGGCCTCTTACAAAACACCCGTCCCATGAGAAATCTGTGGATAGGGGTGACCTAAGGCCAGGAGTCCTGACCCATCCTATTTCATTAACACCCTTGATCTCTGCATCTCTGGAGTTCCCTATCTGTCGGCTCGGGCAGCTTTTGGAAACAACAGACACCAGTGCATTGTGGCAGGATGGGGAGACAAAGGCTGAGGTGTGTGCCTGCAGTGCCGCCCAGGCCACCAGACTTCCTCTCAAGCCAGTGAGGACATTGGAACCCCTTTAGAGGCCTTCCCTGCTTCAGTGCAGGGGCAGGGTGGGTACGTGTGTAGTAAATGTGTGTGTGTGCCCGTTGGAGGATCTGGGTATATATGTGGCGGCTGACAGAGTGTGCATATGTGGGTCTGTGTGTGTGTGTGTGTGTGTGTGTGTGTGTGTGTGTGTGTGTGTGTGTGTGTAGACACAAGCACCTGCCTCAATGCCTCAGGTTAACAGGCCCGGCTTTAGCTTGGTCCAGAAGGAGCCTTATTCCATTTAACAGATGGAACAAAACAAGGTGTTCTTTAGAGCAGGCGGAACCCTCAGTCCATTGTATTAGCTCTTGGAATGTGTGATTCAGGATCAGTACCCCCATGCTGAGCCTTGTTCCTGGGGCACCCACCTGATAGAGATGCCATGACTGGGAGAAGCACCCAGCAAACCTTTCTCCACTGCTTCCCTCGGCCCATAATCATGGACCTGCAGATGACTCCTCTGGATGCTCTCTGGGGGCCTCTGACCAGCTTCAGCTTTCCCGTCACCCTCCTGCCCCTCTTAGGTTCTTGGCTTCAGAAAGCACACCCTTTGGGGAGGCTCCTGGAACTCGGAGTGTGGCCTTAACACCTCCCTCCACCTCCTTGGACATTAGCCCGTGACCAAGCCAGCACTGATAGAGTAGCCCCCCCCCCCATCATCACTGCCACCCACTCAGACCCCATATCCCAGGTGGCCTTGGACTGTCACACTACTCCCCACTCCCCAGCTCTGCTCCACCAGGCCCCCTGACTACCTTGCCTCTCTCAGCCCTGAGAGAACACCCTGGCCCCTTCCGTCCTTGTCCCCTGCCATCCCTCTCCCAGCTCCTCTCTCCTGTCTGCCCTCTCTGCCCCCTGAGCTCCATGTTCCAGACTTCAAGGAGACCTCTTAGGGTGAATGCAGGGCTTTCTGTGTCTTTGCTATCTGACTTGTGCGGGTGCTATCATGCTCCGACGGCATCTCGAGTGCTGGGGACTCACTTCCGAGGTTTTCTCTACGTAGCTGGGAGCTCCTGGAGGGGTTTGTTTCTGGGCCCTGGAGGGCAGCTCTGGGCTGGGTCTGGTGAGAGTCATTGATGGCATTTATATGGGTAGATGGAAGGATGGATGGAGTGATGTAGGGAGGAAGAAAAAACAGGGACAAGGGTATGTGGCTGCCTAGCTAGGGAGGGTTGGCAGCAACATACCTAGCTTTAGGGCCAGTACTTCAGGCAGCAAGGCCAGTGTGGATGGAGGGGAGACTGGAGAACTGTCAGTTTGGATCAGTCCAGTGGTTGGGTGGAGTGGGCAGTAGACATATAGGAGAGCCTGCCAGGACTCATTTTGTTGAGGTCCCTGAGTGTGTTGGGGACAGAGAATCACTGTACACCAGTGGTCACACTGTCTCTCTCTCTCCCCCAAATGCTCCTTTTGGCTCCATAGCATCTCCAGGGCCTCCACAGTTTGCTTTGGTAGCTCCAGCTCTGCCCACTCCCTCGCTCTGTAGGTGGTAGATACAGAAAGACATCTACCAGTGCAGGGCCAGCCCATTGGATGGCTTCCTGTTGCACACATCTAGTAGGTCCTACCTCAGCTCCACCCACCACAGCAAGGACACTGACTGACAGGTGAGTGGTGTGTGACTCCACCCACTGTGGCAGGGGTGAGCAGACCCGAAGCTTGGGCAGGTCTAAGGTTGAGTCTCTGCTTCATCTTGTCCTAACCCTGTTTCCTTTCCTACCCGTTAGCAAGGGGATTAGAAGCCAGTAGCTACCAAGGACAGACCGGCTTAAAACAACAATCCAAGAACGTTTTAAGAGAGTGACAAACTTCGGCCATCAGCACTTTTTATTTAGACCTGAATTCATGAATGTTAACCAAATAAACACAGGCGTGTTAGGTATTAATATATGTACCATTATGCAAAACCAGTATTATGGCTGTAATGAAAATTAGATTCTGCCTCAGTGGTGGTGTTCCAGGAGGGCAGACATCCTCTGGTTTACAGCGCTGTGACCTCTGGCTGCTGTTGCCATAGTAACTGTGCTGCCATGGGAATGTGTGGACCAGAGGCTGGGCTTGTGAGGTAGGGTGAGGACAGACCTGTATTCCAGCCCCCCTTGTCAACCTTGAACTTCAAAAAAGAGGGGACTAGTGGCCAATGTGAGAGGCTGGGGGGCAGACAGTAAGGCAGTCGGGGTACAGCACACCCCCTCATGTTTACCTCCCTCCTTCCTTCTGCACTAGGCAGCTCTTTCATAGGGGCAGTCTTGGCATCTTTCAGTTAACACTAGCTGAGTGCCCACTGTGTGTCAGACCTGTGACAGGCTCTGAGGATATGGCAACAGGTGCCCATGCTTGTGGAAGCTGCCATGTCAGAGGGAGGGACAGACTGTCTCTCACCCTGCCTCTCAGAGCAAGGGGCAGAGAGTAGACAGAAGCAGAAGCAAGGTCATCTTAGATGATGGGGCAGAGGAGTGACTGTTGGTCAGTCTTTCTGCCAGCATGGTCTGGGGGAGGGCAAGATGGGGACACCTGCTGGAGAGGGACTTGGAAGGCAGCAGCTACCCCTTCCAAATAAGGGCCAGGAGAACAAAGCCAGGATACCCTGGTTCAAATGAATTTCAAATGGGAGCTGGGGTGAGCTCAGCCATACAGTGCTTGCCTGGCATGCACAGGGCCCTGGGTTCCAACTTCAGCACTGGAAAAGAAAGCACGCGACACTCCAATTAACCACAAAGAATTGTTTAGTGCAAGTGTGTCTCATACAGCCAGGGACACACGCTGCAAAGTCATTTGTTGCGCATCTGACATTTGGATTTAACTGGCTGTCCTGTATTCTTTTCTAAATTCAGCCAGCCTTGAGAGAACAGAAGTGGCCTGCCCAGATACTGAGCTGCAGAGGTGGCCATGTCTGTTCACGTATCCCAGGTCCTGCTGCAGGCTGTTTGCTGTCCTGTGTCCCCGACAAGCCCTTCTCAGCCTTAGCCTGGGGTGCATGACATCCAGGTGACATGCCATCTGATATAATTCTTGTCACTCCTTAGTTGTGTGTTCATGGCTCTGGTGGCTACCAGGACCTGCATGATACCTGCCAGACCCTGGGGACACTGTTCCTTATCCACAGTCCAACGGAATTTCACCTGGACCTGCTCTGATCTCCACCCCACTACCTCTGCTGGGCTCTTCCGAGTTGGTTCACCGTTGTCAAGCC